AAAGGAGGAGAGCTCAAACCTAGCAGGGATTTTGTACTGACACAGCGAGCTCAAGGACCTCAGAAAGCTTTAGAACCATGGATTGGTTGGAAGGGATCTCTCCTTCTCCTCCCCTGCCATGAGCAGGGACACCTTCCACCATCCCAGGTTGCTACGAGCCTTATCCAGTTTGGCCTTGGGCACTGCCAGGAATCCAGGGGCAGCCACAGCTGCTCTGGGCACCCTGTGCCAGGGCCTGCCCACCCTGCCAAGGAACAATTCCTTCCCAATATCCCATCCATCCCTGCCCTCTGGCAGTGGGAAGCCCTGTACAGCACTCCTGGAGCCCCTTTAGGCCCTGGAAGGGATTCTGAGGTCTCCATGGCTCCAGAGCAGAAGGGCTCCAGCCCTTGGAGCATCTCCATGGCCTCTGGACCTACTCTAAGAGCTCCAGGTATTTCCTATTCTCTGGTGCTGCACCAGCACTCTGCTGACGGACTACAAGAGCCAACCCCTCAGGCACGGCTGAGTTTTGGGAGAGCACATTCCATCATGGCATCAGAGAGCCCAAACTGCTGCCAAACCAGTGCCCTGGGAGGTACCAGAGCTGTGGGAAGGGCTGTTCCCACAGAGCTGTGCCAGCCAAGCCACAGCACAGCTGTGCCCAGCAGCAATCCCCACGAGCTGTGTGGCACTGGGGGTCCCTCCCAGCCCCCTCCCAGGCCCCTCCCAGCAGGGCAGTGCCACGGCAGGGCCGGGAGCCCAGGCTGCCTCACCCAGGCGTCGGAAGCCCTCGGTGCCCGAGATGGGGCCGGGGGCCAGGCTGTTCACACGGATGTTGTTGGGTCCCCACTCCACTGCGAGGTGACGGGTCATGGCATCTGGGGAAGGATTGCAACAGCAGTGAGAGACGGGGAGCAGAGCCATGCCAGCAACTTCTTTGGATGGGGAAAAAAAGCCACAGAAGAGTCTGGCTGAGAGCAAAGGACTCTGGAGGAGAGAAGATCCTCATCCCAAACCCAGACATGCAGTAACCACACCAATTCACATGCTTGCCCCTCCCCAAGGCATCTTCCATGCCAGTATTTAGGAAGAACTGGCTTCTTTCCTGGCCCCATGTGGCTCAGAGCCCCAGCAGGGTGTGTTGAGGTACCTATGGCAGCCTTGGCAGCCCCAGCGTGCACCTGCAGGGCCTGCCCTCGGTAGCTCAGGGTCGCCGTGATGTTAACGATGACCCCGCCATGGTCCTGGGGAAGGAAAGGAAACGTGGAGTTAGGCAGGGAGCAGCACAAAGGGTCACAGAGGGCTCTGAGGGACAGGAGAGCTGGGCTTGGAGGGACAGTCACCCACAGGCACTGTCAAGTCATCACTGGGGCAGCTCTACCCACTGAATCTCAGGGGAGGGGCAGCCAGCGGGGCCCTGCTGAGAGGTGGGACAAGCAGGGTACAAGGAAAGGCCAAGGGAAAGTGGCAGAGCTGGAAAGCGAGCAGGAGATCAGCTTCTCCAGGTGGCAGAGCATGGAAAGGTACTGCAACAACACAAAGCCCCAGGGCAAGGGACAGGAGGAGCTCCAGTTAAGGGCTGGGATCCCTGGAAGGGAACAGACTGGATCTGTGCAGGGAGGCTCTGGGTCCTTGCACTTCGCTGATTTCCCCAGCAGCACAGTGTGGTTTGACACTACCCCTTGCCTACAAGAGCCTCTCCTCAGAGTCCCCTGGCTCTGTGCCACTTACCCGAAAATATTTCTCAAAGAGGACTTTGGAGGTGTTGAAGGTGCCCATGGTGTCGATGTCTATCACTGTCTTGAAGGCGTTGAAGGACAGGGCACTGGCTGGGCACAGGAAGTTCCCTGCAGCACCTGAACCACAGGGACAGGCAAGACAGGTTTGGGAGAGATGTCAGGGCCCTTCTGAGACAGGGAGAGTGAGGAACAATGTCTGCATGCTGGGGAGCACATGGAGACAGCCCTGCTAAGGGCTAAACTGGTGGCTCTGGGTGCCCAGCAGCACAGTCAGCACGAGGGGAGCAGGGATGATCCACACCTAGACAAACAGGGATGGCCATGTACCACACACAGATCTCTGCTTCCTCTGTGCTCCCAGGAAAACACCCTGCCCAGCAGTGAGCCCAAACCCTGCCCCTGCCCTCTGCAGCCTCACCATTGATGAGGATGTCAATCCTCTTGAACTGCTGCAGCGCCTCGTCCACCGCTGCCGCGATGGTCTGCGGCTGCCGCACGTCGATGCACAGGGGCAGGCACTGCTGCCCTGTGGCTGCCACCAGCTTCTTCGAGGCCTGAAAGAACAAAAAGACCCTTGAGAGAGCCTGGCTGCACCCTGCTAGCCCTGGGGTAGCCAGGGAAAGCTCCTGCATGGTGTATCCCAGCCACACTGCATGCTGGGCTGGCTAAGCCCAGGTACCTGCATGGGCTGCTGTGGACACAGCACAGGCAACAGCCCAATCTCTGCAGGGAAAGTACAAAGGTTGGACCCCAGCAAAGCATTTTTGGCATGAGCCCAGGCATAATCGCCCTTTAGATCCAAAAAGTCAGTGGGCAAAAGGGCAAGGACAGAGCAGCCAGGTGTCAGGCTGTGAGACAGACCAGCTCTGCAGCTCAGGGTTTGTCACAAGCCACTCCTGTGGCTCATTAAGAACAAGATTTTCCCCAGCAAATTAAGCACAGGGGACACACAAGCTCAGCAGCAACTCCACACAATACCCAGAGCTGTTCCAACTCCTTTTTTGGGCTCTGTGAGAGGTCTTGAGCCCCAGCAACACACAGGTGCATGAGCAGCTGGAGTCTTGGACTGCAGATTCTGTGGCCTCAGAAGACTCAGGCCCCTGAGGACTAAAAACCTGCTGAGCCAGCTTCTTCTGGCACATGAGCATGAGGGGGTGGGAAATGACAGGCGACCACACTTGCACCCTCCCCTCTGCCCCAAAACACAGGATACCTGTGCAACCCACAAGCCACACAGCCCCTGGGTCTGCTCCTACTCCACACTGAGCTTTCAGTCCAACCTTGGGCTCTGCCCTGCTGACAAACCTCCCCCACAGAAAGCCATCATGATCGTGGAATAGCCCCCACAACGCAGGTTAACAGAGCTGCGCTGGAGGTGCGCTGGGTGCAGCCCCACACCCGCACCCACCCTGCCCAGCGCCACCGGAGTGCCCGGGGCTGGCAGGCTGGGAGGCACTGGGAGGCACTGGGAAGCCATTCCTCCTACTGCACTATTCCCAGGGCTCCCGGCTCTACCGGGAGAGAGCAGAAGGACTTCGGGGCTCGCAGGCTGCTGGAGGCCGGACTCACCTCGGACACCCGCTGCAGGTTCCTGCTGGCAATGACGGTGCGGCAGCCGTGCCTGCAGGGAAGGGGCAGGTGAGACGGGCCGGGCTCCTCAGCAGCACCTCGGGATCACCGGGTGCTCCCTGCAGGAATTGCTGCTGCTCCAGCCCGCAGGGCCCTGTCCCCGGAGCCTCCCTGAGCCGCCCTCGGCTTCACATCCCGGCTCTTCCAGGGCCTGGCAGCGCAGCGGGGAAAGGGATGGGACGGGGGAAAGAGAAGAGAAGGGGGTGAAGAGGAGGAAAGTGAGGGAAAAGGAGGGAAGAGCAGGGAAGAGAAGAAGGGAACGGGGGAAAGAAGAAGGGAAGGAAGGGGCAGCCCCGCCGCAAGGGCTCCCGCACCTCATGAAGATCTCGGCGATGCGGAAGCCGATGCCGGAGCCGCCGCCGGTGATGAAGGCCACCTGGCCCCTGTGGGACAGAGGCACGATCAGAGCCGGGCCCCGGGGAGGCGGCCCCGCGGGCCCCCCGGAGCGCCGGGACTCACGCGAGCAGGTCGGGGCTGAGCAGGTGCCGGTACTGGGGCAGACACTCGTCCCCGTCCTCGTCCGGGGGCACCCGCGCGGCCATGGCGGCCTCGGCCATGGCGGGGGCGGGCGCTGCTCACTGCGCCTGCGCGGGCGCCGCCGCCGTCGCCTGGCAACGGGGAGCGCTCCGGGACACAGCGACACCGAGCGGCCACGGCGGGAACTGCAGCGCGGGGCGACCAGAGCCGTCACAGTGAGATCCCAGTGAGATATCCCAGTGAGATATCCCAGAGAGATCCCAGAGAGATATCCCAGTGAGATATCCCAGAGAGAGATCCCAGTGAGAGATCCCAGTGAGAGATCCCAGAGAGAGATCCCAGTGAGATATCCCAGAGAGATATCCCAGAGATATCCCAGTGAGATATCCCAGTGAGATCTCCCAGAGATATCCCAGTGAGATATCCCAGAGAGATATCCCAGAGAGATCTCAGTGCTGTCCCAGTGGTCCCAGTGATGCCCACACACAGCGGTGTCCCAGTACCTCCCAGCGGTACTGCTGGGTATCCCACTGCTTTCCGAAGTGTCCCAGCGGCCCCCAGTGCCCCCCAGTGGTGTCTCAGCGCTTCACAGCGGCATCCCGGCGCCTCCCAGCGGTGTCCCACTGGTTCCCAGTGTCGCACGGAGCCCCCAGTTTTACAGCTCAGACCCCACCCTGATCTCCTGCAGAGCCCCTGCAGCCCCCCAGGCACAGTCCAGCCCTTCACAGGGCCTCCCATTACAGTTCCAGTGCTCCCAGGGACATCCCAGTTCATCCCAGAGCTTCTCAGCACTATCCCAGTTTCCCACAGAGCATCCCAGTACCGATCCAGTGCCCCCCAGGAACAGTCCATGGACACCCAGAGCTTCTCAGAGTCTCCCAGGGACATTCCAGTGCCTCAAAAGCCTTCCCAGTACCAACCAGTACCTTCCACGGATGTACCAGTGACACCGCAGAGCTTCCCAGGACAGCCCAGTACTCCCCAGGGACAGCCCAGGGTCTGCTGGGGTTCCTCAGTACCACCCCAGTGCCCTCTGGGGACATCCCAGTGCCTCCCAGAGCTTCCCGGTACCACCCCAGTGCCCTCTGGGGACATCCCAGTGCCTCCCAGTATTTCCCAGTACCATCCCAGCGCCCTCTGGGGACATCCGAGGGAGGAGACCGGAGTCAGAGCTGGGGACACCGGGGTTTATTGGGGCGGGGGTGCCCCCGGCCGGGCCCGACCCTAGAGCCCGTAGATGTTGTCCCTGTCCCTGCTGTCCCAGGCCACCAGCTCGTCCCGCTGGAACCAGAAGCCGATCTCCCTCTGGGCCGTCTCCGCGGAGTCGCTGGCATGGACCACGTTCCTGCGAGGGGACAGGGATGGGGACAGTGCCACGGCCCTGGGGTCCCGCCCCCGCGGCTCTACCTGGTGATGTGCACGCTGAGGTCCCCGCGGATTGTCCCCACGGCGCTGCTGTCCCCAACCATGGCCCGCGTGCACCGCACCACGTTGTAGCCCTCCCACACCTGCGGGACAGGGACAGGGACAGAGACAGGGACAGCTGAGTCCCCCGCGCCCCGCGGGACCCCCGGGCTGTCCCCTCACCATGGCCACCACCGGCCCCGAGGTCATGTAGGCGACGAGCGCGGGGTAGAAGGGCTTCAGCCGCAGCTGCTCGTAGTGCTGCTCCACGAGCCTCCGGTCCGCCTGGGACAGCGGCGGTGACAGTGACACCCGGGCCGTGTCCCCCGGCCACCCCCGCTCCGGGCTCCGGAGCAGCGCTCCCCGCGGGCCCGGCTACCTGGAGCAGCTTCATGGCCACCAGTTTGAAGCCGCGGCGCTCGAAGCGCTGGATGATGTCCCCGAGCAGCCGCCGCTGCACCGCGTCCGGCTTGGCCACCAGCAGCGTCCTCTCCTGCAGCGCCGCGGGGGCTGCGCGGGGCCCGCGGGTCGCTGTCACCACCGCAGGGGGACACAGGACACCCCCGGACACGGGCGCGGTGGCAGCAGGGCCCCGAGCTGTCCCCGCGGCACCACGGGCTGTACTCGGCCCCGAGGCTGCCGATGGGAACCCGCCCCATCCCTGTCCCCATCCCTGCTTCCATCCCTGTCCCCATCACTGTCCCCGTTCCTGTTTCCATCCATGTCCCCATCGCTGTCCCCACTCCCTGTCCCCATCCCATCCCGGGGCGTGTTCCCTGGCCAAGCTGTGCCTCTCAGGCTGCTGGGGTCCCAGGGGACGTGTCACAAAACCCTGACGGGTGTTGGGGACATGTCCGTGGCCAGGAAATAGCCTTTAAGCCAGGCACGTCTGTGCCGTGTCCCCGTGCTGGGGACTGTCCCCTGCCTGGCCCCGGGGCCTTCCCCCGGCCCAGTCACAGCGCTCCGCTGCTGGAGGGGAAAATCGGTGACCGAGGGACGGCAGGGTCCGGTCCCGGTCCCGCTGTCACCCGTGGGACGGCAGGGCCTCACCCCGCCGCTGGCCCTGCCGCGGCTGCGCCGCAGGAGGGGACAGAAGCCCCAGGGGACAGTGCATCCCGTCCGCTGGAGGGACAGAGGGGACAGGAAGGACGGGAAGGGAGAGGGAGAGAGGAGGAAGGGAGAGGACACTTCACTGCCAATCCCTTCGGGGACCGTCCTGGGCTGCGGGGCTGGGTGGCCCCGGTGCTGGCGGGGACAGAGCCGGACAAACCGAGCCCGTGAGCTCACCCGGGACTGCTGAGCACTGCTCGGCTCTGTCCCCCGCACCGGCGTCCCCCCAGCACCTCCCTGGGGACACTGAACCCCTTGGGACTTCCAGGGAGCGCCAGCTCCGGTCTCTGTCCCATCCCGGCACACGGGGACAGCAGAGCCTGGCACAGGCTCGCTCCACAAAGGGGCGACAGGCGCCCGTGAGCCGCCACCCGCCCGGCACGGAGGGACCGGGGACACTGCGAGGGGATGGGGCACCGAGGGGACAGGGTGGGAACAGGAGCGCTGAGGGGCAGCACAAGCAGGGGACTGGGGACAGGGCGGGGATGAGGAAAGGGTCCCCAGGGGCAGGACAGGGAAGGAGCTGAAGGCCCCCAGGGATGGGGACCGGGTTCTCTGGAGCAGGGGTGGGGACAAGGTCCCCAGGGGCAGGATGAGGGTGGGGACAGGGTCCCCGGGGGCAGGACAGGGACGGGGCCGTGTCTCACCCGAGCCGTAGCAGCGGGGCCCGGGGGGGCTCAGGCCCGGCTGCCCCCGCGGGAGGCTCCGGGCCAGGCAGCGCCCCAGGGAGCCCATGGCGGCCCCGGCGGGTCGGAGCCGGGCTCGGTCGGTCTGCGGAGGCTTTTAGAGCCCGGGGACGGGTCAGGCTTCCGTCCCTCCCCTTAAAGGCCGCCGCGCCTGCTCGGGACATCCCGGGACAGAGCATCCTCCCCATGCAGAGCGTTCCAGCACGGAGCATCCTGACACGGAACATCCCGGCTTGGAAGCCCAAGCCCTGCCAGGGTGGGAGCACAGCCCACACCCACCCCGAGGGGAGCCAGACCTTGCCAGGAACCAAAGGTGCCTCGTGCAGGGAGAGGCCGGGCCAGCCCATGCCAGGCTGAGCTGGGGCACAAGGGAAGCCCCAGCCCCGGAGCAGCCAGGGCAGTGCTCCCCTGTGGGGCACAGACCTGCCCTGGACACAGGGGGTGCTGGGGAAGGGGTGCAAGGCCCTGGGGGCAGAGGAACTGCCCAGGTGGGAGCCCTCTGATCACTCCCAGTTTGGGAAATTACTCTGTACTGCGCTTCCCTGCTCTCAGACACCTCATGGGAGAGCAGCCTGACAGGCTCATGGAAAAGCCTGGCTGCTTGGAGCCTGTTTCCCAAATCTGTGCTGATTTGAAGGACTGAGGAGTATCCTGAAAAAAAACAAGCTGAGGGCTGGGCTTGATCCCACTCTCCCTGTTACCACCCTGCCTTCCCAAGGCACAGGGAGTGGGGGGACAGAACCCCTGCCACAGCCTGGGGGCTCTGGGGACTGGCCGTGCTCAGCACCATGGCAAAAAACACCCCAGTGCCATCCCATGGGCAAATGGATTCAACTGGTTGTGGAAAAGACTTTTCTGGCCCCAAACAAGAGGCTGGGGGTGGGGAAAGGGCCCTCTGCAGGGCTTGCCACGCCAGGGGGAATGGGACAGAAGGGTGGCAAAGGGGAAGAGGTTTTAGGACAAGGGGTGGCAGATTGGAGCCTGGGCTTTGACCACCTAGCAGCTGCTGGCATTGACCAAGGGAAAATCTTCTACTTTCACCCTGTGTAAAACCAAGAAAGAGAAGCAGCATGAGCCTGGGGAGCTGTGCTGGGATGAAATCCCTTCAGCCCCAAGGGGAGCCACAGCCAGCAGGTGGTGGAGGAGGTGGCTGCCAGCTTCCCGTGCCCCCAGTGCCGGGCAGAGCTGCTGAGGGGGCCCAGGAGCAGCTCAGGAGCAGGGCCAGGTCTGGACCCTGCACTGGGTGCTCGTGCACCGCTACCAGCAGGAACAGCAAGGACTCCCAATCTCAGTGGAGACAGGGACACTCCAAGTGTTGTTCCAGGTGTGGCTGGCAGGGAGCTTGGGAAGGCTGGCCCCAGACCATCACCCCCCTTCTTCCCTTGTCTCTCACCCCTCTGGAGGCAGCTCAGCCCTCACCTGCACGGGCTGGAGCAGGTGAGGCACATCCTGGGCATCTGGACTCTGCTCCAGGGCAGGGAGCCCAAACATCCAGCTGGTGCCAGGTCAGAGCCTGGATGCAGGGATGGCACAGATAATCCAAAGAGCATCCCTCATCTCCCCATGGCAAATGGGCACAGGGAAGGGGCTTGTCCACAAAACTGAAACACAGGAACCATGGAGGAAGTGCTGCCCCACTCCAGCTCACCCGACACCTCCCAGCTGTCCAGGTGCAGCCACCGCACAGACGCATCTCCAAACATTCCCAGGAGAACATCTCCAGGAGTGCTCCCTTCCCAGAGCCTGCTGCTGCTCCTGCCACTGCAGCTGCCCACTTAAACATAGGGAATTAAGAATGATTCCACAGAGTCATGGAGTGGTTTGGGTTGGAAGGAACCTCAAGGCTCATCCCACCCCTGCCATGGCAGGGACACCTCCCACTGTCCCAGGCTGCTCCAATCCCCAATATCCAGCCTGGCCTTGGACACTGCCAGGGATCCAGGGGCAGCCACAGCTGCTCTGGGCACCCTGTGCCAGGGCCTGCCCACCCTCACAGGGAACAATTCCTTCCCAGTATCCCATCTAACCCTGTCCTCATTCAGCCTAAGGCCATTTCCCCTTGTCCTGTCACTCCATGCCTCTCAAATTTAATCTATTAAATATAAAAATTATATTAAATTATATTAAATATAAAAAATATAAAAATGATATAGTACTGCTTCCTGACCAGAGACCTCAAGGAAAAGAAATCATTCCCAGCTGCATGATCAGAGATCCACAAGCCCCACACAATTTGTCCCTGCCTGACTGGTGTCTGGCATTTTACCAGACAGATGCCACTACTGGGTCACTGGGCAGAGGGTGAACTTCAGCTCCAGGCTCCCTGGGAATGGGGGATTTCTTCCTGCAGGCACTTCATGTTCGATCCAGACACGTGTGCTGGAGGGGATGAATGGATCACCACAACATGTGACAGAAAACACAGGAGAACAATGAGGAGACAGCAGAAGAAGCCACCACTGATCTGCACCTTCCAGGAGCTGCTGGACTTGTTGGGATCCTTGTTGGCTGCTCCTCATTCCTGATCCTGGGAAAAGCTGTGGATCACTGCCTGTTCATTTCTACAAAATGACCTAGAGGGAAACAAACCCAGCCCCAAGTTATTTAAAACAACAAAGTAAGCACTTTATTCCCATTAAGCATGTTGTTTTAGTATCACAATGGAATGATGAGAAAACGTTTAAAAAAAAACCCAAAAAAAGTCTCTAAATCCCCGCCAACATCGGGGAGGTATTCAAGGCAATTTAAAAACAAAGGGAGTGACAGAAGTGCCAAACCAGTCCCAACGTCAGGAGACTCCTCCTCCGAGAGCTGGGCGGGGCAGGAAGGTGGAATGACACGAAGGTACGAATGTCTGAAGTGGTCTTTGGCGCTTCTGCCTCGTGTTTGATACGGACATGATGTCTCCAGACACCTCCAGATGCAACAAAGTGCTACAGGAGCAGAGGGAAAGCCCCGGGAGAGGGATTTCCCGACAGTCGGGATGCCCCGGGGTGGGCGTTAAGACACATCCTGCCGGCTCCAGCTGCGGCCTCGGGCTGGGCAGGGAGAACTCAAAGGAAGCGGTGGAGCGCGGTGAATCCAGGCCGGCTCCCGCAGCGCCGGCACGGCCCGGGAGGAGAGGGGCGGTGGCGAACCGGAACGCGGGGCTGTGCCCCGGGGAGGGGCAGTCCAGTGCAGTCACTATAACTTCACAGTCCCCGGGGGCAGGCTGTCGTTGCACAGTCTGTAATAGCGCAGGTCGTTCACCAGCCTGTGCACGTTCTGTGTGAACGAGGGCAGGTCCTGCAAGGGACACAACAACAACTGCTGGGAACGGACTCACAGCGGGCAGCAGGGAGGGGCAGGCACCCAGAGGGTGTTCACGGGTGAACAGATCCACCCTGACTCAGTCTGAGCCCGGGAACTGCAGGTTCTGGGGCAGAGATGGTTTCAGAGCCGACTGCAGGGATCCAGGCTCTGCTCCCATCTCCGACCTCTCACTGTGCAGCGAGGCCCAGAGCAATGGTCATGGAATCATGGAATGTTCTGGGCTGGGAAGGGCCTTAAAACTCATCCAGTGAGGGATGAGGCAGGGACACCTCCCACTGTCCCAGGCTGCTCCAAGCCCCATCCAGCCTGGCCTTGGACACTGTCAGGGATCCAGGGGCAGCCACAGCTGCTCTGGGCACCCTGTGCCAGGGCCTGCCCACCCTCACAGGGAACAATTCCTTCCCAATATCCCATCCCTCTGGCAGTGGGAAGCCATTCCCTGTGTCCTATCCCTCCATCCCTTGTCCCCAGTCCCTCTCCAGCTCTCCTGGAGCCCCTTTAGGCCCTGCAAGGGGCTTTGAGGTCTCCCTGGATCTGTCTCTCCCCCAGCTCTTCCAGCCTGGCTCCATGGCCAGATGCAGCACTAATTCCTTGCTGCCCTCCTGCCAAGGCTCCTGGGTGTCACACACTCCCTGACAAGGGCTGGTATTCCTGAAGAACAGTTACCTTCCAGAGCCAAGCAATTCCCCCAGGGCTCCATTTCTACCCTCACCCTTGGTCTCAAATTCCCATCCCCTCCCTCAGGACAGGGAGCACACAATGAACAACCCTCAGTAAATGGAAGCCAGAACCTGCTGCTCTGCCATGATATTCCACACATTTCCTTCCCACACACGAGAGGTTTGCAGGGACTGTGAGCCTGTGCAGGTACTCTGCTGTCCCTACTGTAACCCTCAAACATGTGGCCAGCAGCTGGAGCAAGATTCAAGCAAGGAGCTGAGCGTCCCACTTGGGAACACGTCAGGCCAGTCCAGTGAAACCTTCCTCCAGGAAACACCTTCCCTGACTCCCACAGCACTGTGCAGCCCGAGGGGTGATGGCAGCTCTGCTGCCTGCACTGAGAACTCCTTGGCTGGGGATTGCTGAGCACGGAAGTGCTGGGAGCAGAAGGCACTGCCTGGAGACATTGCCAGCGTGTTCTGGGGGAGCACTGTGCATCCTGGCAACACCACAGTGCTGCAGGCCCCTCCTTACCCTGTCCATTTTGAAGTTCCTCCCCAGCACGTTCTTCTGGTTGGAGTCCACGCCGTCGCAGCTGGCCAGGAACTCGGGCAGGAAGGCGGAGTAGAAGCCGTCGAAGTCCACCGAGGCCATGTTGTAGGTGGCGATGCCGATCTCCTCCTGCAGCAGGTCGTGGGACTTGTGCACCAGCACCTGCAGCAGCACGTTCACAAACTGGAACAGCATCGTGGTCCTGAAGATCTTCTGCACAGGGAGAGGGGCTCAGGGTTAGGGGACTTCACTTCTCCCACAGGAGGACAAACCCAGCAAGGACAGAGGAGCCACAGCTCCAGCAGCATCTGCACACCCTGGTGAGCACTGAGATGATTTTCTAAGCCAAGCCAGATCAAAAATGGCCAAAATAAGCTCAAATAGTATCAGCTTGAGAGTTAATGTTGAATTTGGCCACACTTACCTCATGGTTTGGGGCTTCAGGGAGAGCTCAGAGCCCCTGCCAGGGCCTAAAGGGGCTCCAGGAGAGCTGGAGAGGGACTGGGGACAAGGCATGCAGGGATAGGACACAGGGAATGGCTTCCCACTGCCAGAGGGCAGGGATGGATGGGATATTGGGAAGGAATTGTTCCCTGTGAGGGTGGGCAGGCCCTGGCACAGGGTGCCCAGAGCAGCTGTGGCTGCCCCTGGATCCCTGGAAGTATCCAAGGTCAGGCTGGGAAGGGTTTGGAGCACCCTGGGATAGTGGAAGGTGTCCCTGCCATGGCAGGGGGTTAAAAATAAATCATCTTTACAGTCCCACCCAGCCCAAACCATTCCATGATTCCATGCTCTGACCCAAGTTTTAAGCATTGGCAAAGCCACCAGTATCAAGTCCCACTCCAATTCCAGCCAGGTATTCCTGCACAGTGCTCTTGGGAGCCAGGGAATGTGGCCAGGGGCCTGAAATCTGCCCCAGGCACCTGTGAACACAACGGGCTGCCCTTCAGGTGTCACCACAGATGAGAAACTGCAAGCTCTGCTTTCAGGCTGACCAGATTCCCTGGATTCCAGATATAGTCCCCCATGACAGCAGCCAAGGATGGATTACAGGGCCTGGAGGATGGGTCCATGGAGATGGACACTCCCAGGGCAGTGAGCTGGGAACAGCAGACACCTGCAGCTGCCCAGCTGGGAATGCTGCAGGCACTCACTGTGCCACTGAGGGTCCCAGCTGCTGCTTCCCCAGACACACCTCACTGTCACTGGGTGTTCTCTGCTGTCCCTCACTGTCAGAGCAGGGAACACATCCAGCCTTTGCCTGACTGCAGCTGGGATCCCTCCCATTCCCAGTTCCCAGTATCAGGGGGGTGGTAACTCCATTCCAGCCACGCAAAGGCTGTGGCACCAAACCCCCTGGACTGACCTGGACTTCTGAGCAGTTTAAAAGCAGTCCCAGGACAGCTCCCACCTCTTCCCATGCCCAGAGAGCACAGGCCCAGGCAGGACCCACCTTGTGGTACAGCTTCTGCTTGGTGTTCAGTGTCTCCAGGTAGAAGAGATTCTGCTTGAACAGGTGAATGTCAGGCTGCAGGAAAGACTGGCCAAACGCCTGGGAACAAAGCACAGTGGGAGGAAGGGCATGGAGACCAGCACAAACATCAGAGCTGCCAGGCAAAACGACAGCATTTTCACCCTGACCCCAGCACAAACCCCTGGCAGCCTCAGTGCAGCAAGCTCACAAGAGACAGGCAGTTCAGATCACCTGTGCTGTCAGCAGACCCACGGGGATGACATTTTGGAGGGAACATGGGCATATCCCTGCAGAGCTGGCTCCACTGGGAACAGGCAGGCCAAGCTGGCACTGGAGAGGGCCAGGGATGCTGAGCCCAGCTCCCTGGGCAGCCAGGCTACTCAGGGAGGGTAGGGCTGCTCCTCTGGGGTGTCACCTAAGGCACCACAGCATGGGGGAACAGACCAGGACACAGCCCAGGTGGGCTCTCAGCCTCAGCCAGGAGCCCAAGCAGATGTCACTGCCCTGATTTAGGATTTGGAGACGGGCCCTGGGAGTGCAGTGAAGAGCCCAGAACAAAACCTGCTGGAGCCTGAGCTGGTCTGGCAGGGCTGCACAGTGTGTGATCACATATCTTTTCCACCCTGAACACCTCCAAAACACTGTACAAGGGATGAAGGTGGGTGAGGTCAGCTCTGCACAGAGACAGGCAGCAGGATTTTAACAGCTCCTCTTCAAGGCACTGTGAGCAGAAGAGTATATTCTCTCACATGACCTATTTATTGTCAAATGGACAAAAACGACCCAGATCCCATGAGCCAGTTCTGGCCTTAGATCTCAGGTGGAAATCAGCATACAAACTATTAATATCCCCCACATGAAGCCCTGGCTGTGGGAACATTACAGAGCATTAAATGGGAGTTTTGTATGAGAGCAACAAGAGCCAAGGAGTAAAACACACAGTGCTGTATTGTCACCCAGCCTGAACTGAGATGATTATTACATAATTATCTTCCAGAATGAGGCATTCAAGAGAGCTGGAAGTGTTACACAGCTACAGGTGAAAGAGATGCTTGGACAGCCCTGCACAGGAACCAGCCTGGGCTTCAGTAACACTAAAAGGTGGAAGGAGAAGGGAAGGCCAGAGAGAAACATGGTCCAGTTTATGTCAGTGCAAGAGCTCCCTCTCCACGTGAGCATCACAGGAGACCCAGTTTCTCCAGGCACTCCACCAGGGGGAAACTCTCCCAAAGTCCTCCCACCTGCAGTCTACGGTGATCTAGGAACTGCAAGGGAACTCCTCTGGCCAGCTCTGACTGAAGTAACACATGGAACAGTCTGTTATTCTCAAAAATTCCAATATCCCAACCTGAGAAGGTTGGAGCTGGCTCTGTGTGCATTCTGTCCCTGCCTTCCAGTGCCTGGAGGGGCTCCAGGAGAGCTGGAGAGGGACTGGGGACAAGGGATGGAGGGACAGGACACAGGGAATGGCTTCCCACTGCCAGAGGGCAGGGCTGGATGGGATATTGGGAAGGAATTGTTCCCTGTGAGGGTGGGCAGGCCCTGGCACAGGGTGCCCAGAGCAGCTGTGGCTGCCCCTGGATCCCTGGCAGTGCCCAAGGCCAGGCTGGATGGGGCTTGGAGCAGCCTGGGACAGTGGAAGGTGTCCCTGCCATGGCAGGGGTGGGATGGGATGAGCTTTCAAGTCCCTTCAACCCAAACCATTCCATGATTCTCTATTCCCCAGGGCAAAGCCTGTCAGGTGTTACCCCCTGACTCTTCCCTAACAGGGCCCGTGGTACAGCACTCAACAAGTCCATGGAAAGCAAAGGACACTCAGGAAAACCTCCCTGCACTGGCAGCTCTCCCCAGGGCCAATCACAACACTCAGAATTAAATGGGTCAGGGGCAGTAATGTATTTTTATTGCAGGATGAGGCTTGCAAAGGAATTAACATTCCTTCCTCATGCCTGCATGGCTCTGTGCCTTGTGAGCTCAGCAGCTGGGTCACTCCTCAGCAACTTCCATTTTCAACAGTTTGGGGAGGCAAAACCTCACTCAAGCTCATCTAAACCCATCACTCACAGGTACCCACGTGGGACCCTCACAAGAACAAAGACACTGAGGGGCTGGAGCGTGTCCAGGAAAGGGAACAGAGCTGGGAAGGGGCTGGAGCACCAGGAGGGCCTGAGGGAGCTGGGAAAGGGGCTGGAGCACCAGGAGGGGCTGAGGGAGCTGGAAAGGGGCTCAGCCTGGAGAAAAGGAGGCTCAGGGGGACCTTGTGGCTCTGCACAACTCCTGACAGGAGGGGACAGCTGGGGGGGGTCGGGCTCTGCTCCCAGGGAACAGGGACAGGACAAGGGAAAACAGCTTCAAGCTGGGCCAGGGGAGGTTTAGGTTGGATATTAGAGAAAATTTCTTTGTGGAAGGGGTGATCAGGCACTGGCACAGCTGCCCAGGGCAGTGGTGGAGTCCCCATCCCCGCAGGGATTTAAAACCATGTGGATGTGGCACTTGGGGACATGTTTTAGTGGTGGCCTTTGCAGTGCTGGGGGAATGATTGGACTCAATCTCAGAGGGCTTTTCCAACCCTGAGGATTCTGTGGTTCCATGATTAGTGCTCCCCTGCAGGACAGGTCCTGGGCAGTGGTGGGAAAGGTGAGTTACCTGCATGATGGCACTGAACTGGGCTTCGTTCTCCATCTGCTCCTCTGCCACTCCCCTCTGGACACTGGCCAGCACACTGGATTTGAAGAAGTACCTCCAGTTGTGGTGCAGCACCCGGAAGAGCAGCTCAAACAGCTCTGCCTTCACATCAGGGGATGAGCGCTGCCAGGAGAGGGGACAGAGCTCAGGGTGGCTCCTCTGCTGGGATCCCCCCCACCCCGGGGTCCCACCCCCAGTGCTGTGCAGCCAAGCATCAAAGCACTCCCAAGGGAGCACCAGAGCCAGCAGCTGCAGGATCATGCTGAACACACATCCCTGACTCTGAGCTGCACCTCCTGCTTTGACCTCCTCCCTAATTTTAGCTTCTCTTGAAACCCCTGACAAAATCCTTCACCCACCCTGCTTCCAATCCCAGCGGTCCCCCCCAGGGTGTTTTCTTTCCACATTTGCAGCTCTTGGAAAGTCAAAGCTTCACTGCTGCCACTGATACCTTGGGTTTAAGTTTTTCTGTTCTGTTTTGGTGTGCAGCTTTAGTTTTGTATTAAGTGTTACTAGGATTTTTACACAGGGTGGTGAAGACAAAACAATCCTATTCTAGCTGGAGACTCAAGGACAATCTCTTCAAACTTCAGGCCCAAAGCATAAACAACATGAAAAGAGGAGGGCAGGCAAGCAAGGAGGATGAAACTTCATAATTTGAAGCTATTAATTGGACAATTAACTCCTATATGCAAATGGACTAAACTTATAAAAATGTGAGATCTTGTGACCAAGCTCTTTTGCTTCCATCTTGGAGGCCCCCAGGCAGAGCCATGACTGTGGAGGATGGGTCCATGGAGATGGAGACTCCCAGGGCAGTGAGCTGGGAACAGCAGACACCTGCAGCTGTCCAGCTGGGAATGCTGCAGGCACTCACTGTGCCACTGAGGGTCCCAGCTGCTGCTTCCCCAGACACACCTCACTGTCACTGGGTGTTCTCTGCTGTCCCTCACTGTCAGAGCAGGGAACACATCCAGCCTTTGCCTGACTGCAGCTGGGATCCCTCCCATTCCCAGTTCCCAGTATCAGGGGGGTGGTAACTCCATTCCAGCCACCCAAAGGCTGTGGCACCAAACCCCCTGGACTGACCTGGACTTCTGAGCAGTTTAAAAGCAGTCCCAGGACAGCTCCCACCTCTTCCCATGCCCAGAGAGCACAGGCCCAGGCAGGACCTGAGCTCTGGTACTGCCAGGTTGCTGCTTTTGAAGGCACTTCAATAAACATCCATTTGATTCCTCTTAACTCCATCTAGCCTCCATTGCAGCTCCATAAGGCATCACCAACCCCCCAGCAACGCCTCCCCTGCCCTGCCCTGGGAGCTGAGTACCTCTGCAATGATGGGATACACCTGCTCCATGCACAGGGAGATCACACTGGGCAGGAAGGGTTTGAACACCTGGCCTGGCTCCTGCACCACCACCTGCAGGATCTTCAGGAACTTCTCCACCACCCGGCAGCCCGTGCTGCCCTCATGGAGGATGCTCTCTGCCAGCTGCTCCCTGGGACACAAACAGGCATTAGGAACATTCCCAGGGATCCAAAGGCTCAGCTGGTTTACTGGAAAAGAGGTGATCCCTCTCAAGTGCTCCATTACTACTGGCCAAGTACATGAAGGCACAGAAGGGAGGGAGGTTTGACTGAGGGTTGACAGACCTCCCTCCCCAACAAAAGATGAGTGAGGGGACACTCTCAGACCTTGGGCAGGAGCTAAGAGGGAATGTGAGAGTCCAGTCCAACACCCCACACAGCCAGGGAGTCTGTGGGAGAGCTGGGATTGCACAATGGCAGCTATGACTGATGGGCATGCACTGAGTCTCTCCAGGCTTGGAAGTGTTTTCCTCAGATTCAGCCCTAGGATGTGACAAAAGGCTGGAAACAGCCCACTTTAGGGACAGGGACCAGCTGGCAGCTCCTCAGATAAACCATCCTGAGGAGTAAGAAAGAAGTGACCAGGTTTGGGCAGTACCTGGTGAACATGTTCAGGAAGGTCTGTATGATTTGCTCAGTGAAAGGCACTCCCATCTGCACCCTCAGGCCTTGGAACAGGGTGAGGAAGAAGCTCAGCATCTCATCTGTCACATCTAAGAGAAGAGAAAAGCAACAAGAACATGTTAAGGAAACATCCAAGTGCATCAATAAGTCTTTTATGTTTAAGTCTAAAGTGTGCTCCTCCTGTTCAGGGAACCCCATTTACTCTTGGGAATTTACCAACAGGATTGTCTGAGAAACTGAAACCATCAGCTGGTTCCTACAGGGCTTCAGGATTGTTCATCCCCTTCCAAAACCTGGCAGGGATGACCAGCACAGGCAGCACCCAACCTCTCAGAACAACCAAAATCCTGCCAGCAAGGCCTCAGTGTGCTCAGAGTACTGGGACAAAACTCAGGGGCAGCTCCAGGCCCATCTTCAGTTCTCACTGCTCATACAGGGTTAACAGGAAACACCAGGAAATCCAAAGCATCCACAGATCTCGGGGTGGAAGAGACAGAATCCAGCTTGTTTTTTTGGCAGGAACTGAGAAGACCCTTCTATCCTCAGAAGTGAGCACGTGGTGGTGCAGTGAGCTGATCAGCACCCAGCTGATCCTTCACCCATCCCAATAAAGACTGGATAACCAAGCTGGAGCTGCTCAGCTCCTCCCTCATCACACAGCCTTTGATAGCCAATAAATTGCAATTGATGAGGCTGCCAGACTGTTCTGAAGACAACAGCTCCCTGGAGTCACAGCACCTTTCCTGCTGCCTTGGATCCTCTGCATTTCACTGCTTTTGTCTCCCCTCAACCCCCACTACTGAGAAAATCCCACCCAGCTCCAAGGAGAACAGGAGGAAGCACCTGATGTGACACAAAATGTAAGCTGCTGGCCAGCAGGCTGCCAAGTGACAGTCCTGGCTCCATCTCAGGGAAAAAAAATCCCCAAATCCCACATAATTTGACCCAATCTGATGACAACTATTCCTCTTACTCTTCAAGCTTCTACAGAGAAGGTAAATGGCAAATACAGCAAGAAAGGGTATTTTAAAGCTTTTTCTTGTGCTCAGGACCAGCTCCTCTTTGAAACTGTGACAATCCTGCCTGGATCCTGGCTGGCAGGGATGTCCCTTCAGCCCAGCTCTCCCAGCACACCCAGGCACAGCAAACCCACACACTCCACACCCACACCACGACTCTGCTGCTGCTCTGGGTGTCACCAGGAGCTCAGAAAGCTACTCACAGCATGACCCCTGGCCTGAGGTTATACCTGACTGATGAATGAAAGCTGGGAAGAGGGCTAGTGAGACCTGCACGGATTCTTGCAGCGACTGATAACAGATCTGCCGGGACTTGGTGGATTCTCCAGAGACACTTTCTACAATGTCTTCCAGAACGCTCAGTGTCTGGTGGATGATCACTTTGGCTGCAAAACAAGAGGAGTGATGCTTCTTGCATGTGCCAAAACTGCTCACAGGTAAGAGGAACAGAAATTAAGCTCACACACCGAGTAATTAAAACAACTGACGTGCGACACTGCAGGTTTCGGAATGATTTCTAAAGTGATCCTCAATGAAAAAAAACCCAAAATCACCCCAAACCAGGCCCAAAGAATATACAGCAGTATCCCTGCACCCCTACCAGGAGTTTCCTTGCATTCCTCCTATATAAACAAACCCTCTCCAGTACTTCCCAAGGAAGAAATTCTTACTGTCCCCCTTCACTTTTTACAACCACTATCTTTGTTAATGCTGCTTCCAGCCAGTTTTCTAATAGTACACAAGAGGCCGTTCAGTATTCCTAATGCAATCCTTACTACTTAATTTATCCCAACCCTAATCCCACCCTTCTTAGGAACACAGCACTCTACTGGAAGAGTTTACAGGTGACCTGGGATGGGAGTGCCCTGTACAGAGCAGAAAAGCCTCTAAAAGCAGAAAGAAAACCCAACCCGCTCCTTTCCCACCCTCCCCGTCTGCGAAACAGTTCCTCGGCCAAAATAATCACTGTCAAATCAGCTAAATGACACTCCCCAGTGCAGCAGGAGTGAGCAGGACACTGGTACTTACTGTCCTCCAGCTGCACCTTCCTCTGGGGCAGGCTGGCCGTGGCCTTGAGCTGGCGGTAGTCCCTGGTGAGGGCGGACACGAGGCTGGCGTGGTTGGTGGAGCGCACAGCCCACTGCTGCTCGCTCTCGGGCAGGTTGGGCCAGGGCAGCAGCAGCACGTTGGACAGAGCCCTGCACACCAGCACCTGGGCCTGGGAGGGACAGCAACCACAGCTGCAGAATGGCTTGGGTGGGAAGGGAGGGTAAAGCTCATCGTGTTCCACGCCTGCCTTGTGCATCTCTGATGTGTGGGAAGCCCTGCAGAGCTGCTTGGACACTGAGGATGGATTGTAGCTCCCAAAAACACCCACACAGGTGATATCAACCCTGAGATACTGGTACCCACAATGAGAGGTGGGAGCAGAAAGCCACCCACAAGAGCCCAGACAACAGCAGGGTTGGACTGACAGCAAAACCACTGAATCATGGAATGGTTTGGGTTGAAGGGGCCTTAAAGGTCACAAACTTCCAACCCCCTGCCCCAGGCAGGGACACCTTCCACCAGACCAGGCTGCTCCAAGTCCAGCCTGCCCTTGGACACTTCTAGGGATGGGGCAGCCACAACTTCTCTGGGCAACATTAATCAAAGAGACAGAGTTTTAACTTTTTTCCCAAGTTAACTTTTGCTAGAGCCCAAGACTGGAGTGAAGTGATATTTTATGGCTGTTGAAGACACCAGCAGTGCTCATTGTTCAACAGCAGAACATGAGCCCAAGTGAAAACTACCAGCCCTGCAAAGACACAGAGAAGCAAAGCTCCAAGATTTAAGGCCTGGAAGCAGCTCCCAGCTCTGTCAGCTCTTCCTTGCAGCAGTAAATCTCTGGTGTTTATAAAAATAAAGATGATTTTACTTTCATTACTCCTTGACTGGTTTACATGCTGAGCTTCTGCACTTGTGCAGCACTTTGTGCTTCCTTGCCAGTGTACAACACAACCATATCCCAGCACTGTGGCTTTTCAGTGCTATAAATGGAATACATTTATATTATTTACATTGCTTCTGCAATAAAAATACTCCAGTTTCACAAAAAACTCTTTGTGTAGCTCAGAATCAACGTGCCTGTACTACGAAGATGATACAGAACTGGGGATGGTGTCAACAAATGAGAAAAGAATCAGATCTAAGAGGTACAATTGTGTTTTTTCCTTGTGCTGTTCCTGAAAATAGATCATTAATTACATACAATATCACTGTCATTTGTGGATATCCACAATACAGAGATTGTTGCTGATTTTTGAGGTTATCCCTCACTACCTGAAGCACATCTTCCCAAGGACACCTGATTTCCATGTGGGACAGCTCTGGGCCAACTGACCTTGTCGGGGAGGCGCTGGGCAGAGGTGTCAGTGATCCTGTTGAACACCTTCTGCACGGCCGGGATGCTGATCAGGAACACCGGGCGCACCGTGGTGGCCAGGGACACCAGCAGGTGGCACGCAGAGAGCAGCAGCTTCTCCTGCACCTGAGAGAGACACGGGGGTCAGTCCCACCAGCACACACTGCCAGGGTCAGCTCACTGAGCTGCCAGGACCTGGCGGGTGCAGCCAGGGGGAACAGGGACAGGATGAGAGGAAATGGCCTCAGGCTGTGCAGGGGAAGGTTTAGATTGGATACTGGGAAAAGTTCTTCATGGAAAGGGTGATCAGGCATAGGGTGCTCAAGGCAGTGTGGAGTCCCCATCCCTGGAGGGATTTGAGAGCTGTGTGGATGTGGCATTTTTAGTGGTGGCCTTGGCAGTACTGGAGGAATGGCTGGACTTGATCTTAGAGAGCTTTTCCTAAACAATTCTATGATCTATTTGTCAACCAGAGCATAGCTGAGTTCCCTTAACACCACTAGAGAGAGACAGAGAGACACTTCCCTGCTTTCAAGCCATAAAATCATTAGACTAAGTTAAGTGGCTTATGCTTGTATTAGCCTGACCTGCAGGGCTGTTAGGACACTTCCCATGGCTCTGGGACACAGCCCAGCTCTCAGCCCACCCCAGCTGAGCAGAGTGCAGCCCCCAGCCCCCAGGGGGGCAGTACCTTGGAGCTGATGAGGGGGGTGATGGCCTCCAGTGCTGTGGACACCAGGGAGATGAACTGCTCGGGGTTCTGCCGGTGCACCTCGCTGTAGAACTGGGCCAGCCAGTGAGCGTAGGCCTGCAGGGCTGCCAGGGACTGGGCGTGCCTGGGGACAGCAGGGGACACAGTGAGCAGTGTAACAGGACACAGGGGTGGTGTTTCAGACAAATCTGGCAGCAGGGTTTGCAAAAAAATCCTTACTCTGTTTTGGTTTTGGTTCTGGACCCACCAAAGCAAAGGTGCAAATTAATAAAGTCAAGTTATCACCAACTGGTACCTGACTGTAACCACACCTGATAATCACACTTCTATCAGGTGAAGGTTGAGTCAGGGTGTCCCTCAGTTTCAGAGAGGTGCCTCCCAAATGTGGGACAGTGTTGCTTCCTCAGGCAAGCATTAAAAAATGGATCACAGGTTTCTTCAGGGACAGGGAAAAGGGTGAACCTGCTGACAGGTCATGGAAAACACCTCCCCAGTTACTGTAAAGCAGAAAAACCATTACAACAACATCCTCTGCACTAATTTCAGTATCACTAACTTGGGACTAATAGGATAAATCCCATTAGTAATACAGTGATATGATAAAATCTAGAGGGGGGCTTCAAGGAGCTGCTGAAAATGCAATAACAAACCAGAACAAGTGTTCAAACCTTAGATTCTGCTCACAGAACTCCAGCTGGCAGGGAACAGGTTTGTGTGCACAGCCTCAGCAAGGGAGGGTCCCTAGAAGTCTGTCACAGAGGGAGGAGATCTGTGACCAGCAGCACCAAGATTTCACACTGAATGGCAGTGCCTGGATGGCAGGCAGTTGTTTGTCCCAGAAATGGCTTGCACAGCTGCAAGGGTTATGTTTGTCTTGGAAGACAAGGATTTGAAACCCTCAACTGGGAAAAACCTCTTTTACCTGAGCCACAGATCTGACTTTGGTAGCAAAAAATCCATCAACTGGATTTATAAATAAACTATACAGTACACAGTAGATCCATTTCTTTAAAATATCCCTGTTATAACACTTATTTCCTCATTAATTACCCTGCTTTTACAGCCACCAGCACAAGGCACAATCTCAGTTTGCTCTCAGAGCTGATTTAAGGGACATTTTTCCTTCTCAGCACAAACATGTTTTCCCTTAAATGACCTGGGTACTTTCATTAGAGGAAAGACCGGTCCAAAATGCTGGCAGCAGCCTTGACTTTCATATGCTGAAAAAGGTGCTTTCCTGGGGAGCTGCCAACAGCTGGAGAGGATGAGGATCTGCCCAGGAGGGTCTGTGCAGCAGATCCAAGCCTTGCCCACCCCGTGAGTGCCCAGTTTGGGTGCAGCCCACACTCACACATCGATGAGGTCAGGTTTCAGCACGGAGGGAACGGCGGTTTCGATGTTGTACAGCTTGATTTGGGATCCATACAACGTCACTTTTACCAACCTGGAGGTGCAAACACACATGGCAGTGCAAAGGGATTGTACAAATCTGCTCCAGCACCTGAGATACTGCAGCTCTTCCCCAGTCTGGATCAATATTTAGCTGATACACAAACAAGATTTTGACCATTTAGCTTAAAATAATTCAGAGCCTACTGCACTGTCTGGGGTAAAATGGAACAAGTCAGATGCTCCTGCACAGAAATGAAAACACAAAACCTGTGTAAAGGCCTGAAATTCTGCCATTTGTAACTAAGTGATAATAAAGTTTCTTGGAGAGGAAGAGGAAAACATCTTCCCCTTCAGCTTTCACACATCTGTTCATTTAAGAGAAGAATCATGGAATCACTGAGGTTGGAAAAAACCTTGAAGTCCAACCATCAAAGGAGGTTTTGGTGATTTCGTTTTGGAAGGTATAATTCTAATCAAACTCTACATGTTATTTCATTGCCTCACAAATGCACATGCTGGAACACAAGTCCCTCAATGTTTCCAAGTGAGTTCCACCCCCTGCCATGGCAGGGACACCTCCCACTGTCCCAGGCTGCTCCAAGCCCTGCCCAACCTGGCCTTGGACACTGCCAGGGATCCAGGGGCAGCCACAGCTGCTCTGGGCACCCTGTGCCAGGGCCTGCCCACCCTCCCAGGGAACAGTTCAGTCCCAATATCCCATCCATCCCTGCTCTCTGCCAGTGGCAAGCCATGCCCCCCACCCTGGCACTCCAGGCCCTTGTAAATGATGCCTCCTTCAGTTACTGGAAGGAGTAATCAGGTCACCCCTGAGCTATTTCTTTCCCACGCTGAAACAATCCCTATTCTCTCAGCCTGGCTGCAGAGCAGAGGGGCTCCAGCCCTTGGAGCAGCACTGTGGCCTCCTCTGGACTCTCTCCACATCCATCCTGTGCTGCACCCCAGGGCTGGAGGCAGCTCTGCAGGTGAGGTCTCACCTGAGCACAGGGCCAGGGGCAGAACCCCAACCCCTGCAGCCCACCCCAGGAGCTCAGCCCAGCACACACTTTACAATTCACATTCTTGCCATCCAACTCCTTACACCTCCATCTCCTCAGGCCAGGGGGATGCAGAAGGAAGCCCTGTTTGTCCCTCTGCCGGCAGAGTGGCAGTGGCTATATGTGGGAATTGGAGAGGTATAAATCTTTACAGACTGAAGAGTTTGATTTACAGCCTTAGAAGAAGCCTAGATTGATGTGAAAGCAAGGTACAGACACTGAACAGAAAAATCATAAACTTATGTTTCTATAACTGTAAGTAAGAATATGCTTTAAGTAAGTAAGAAACTGTATTAGATAAGATGATGAAGGGTTTTATAGGGTAGTACTGTGATTGTACAGAATAAACTAAGAGTTTAGATGTTATAATAGAGACATATGAATGTACATGTAATCAGACCTTATTGGGCAGAAGTATCCACGTTGATAATGTGGATACACTGCAGTAGAAAGAAGTAAAGGTGACAGGTCAGAAAAGCCAAACACACTCTGTGGCAACTGTCCATTGGATTAGAAAGTTATAAACTGCCTGGCAACAAAGAACTTGGGACCATCTCAGACTATGGCTGACTATGCCGTCTTATAAACCTCACAGCCTCTGAGGTGATGCTCTCTAGGCAATAAACCCTTCTTAGTCTGATCCTAGTCCCATCCCTTTGATTAAAGCGACGACAGCCAGAGCTGCACCCACCTCTCCACCACGGTGAGCGCGTCGTTGAACCTGGCGGCGAACACGTCCCCGGTGAAGTACTCGGCCAGGCGGCCCACGGCCTGCAGCAGCGAGCTCAGGTCCCTCAGCGAGCAGTGCAGCCTCCTGCAGTCGTTCTCTGCTGTGATGTTCAGCCTGTGACCTGCAGGGACACCACAGCCCGTCAGCAACACAGCCACAAAGCTGAGTTTCTCTATCATCAGCCCCCGGAGCTGAAAATTCCAGCTTGCGCAAGGGGAGAGCCCCACAGCTCTGTGACTGATCCCTGCAGCTCCTGGGGATGGGAAACCTGGTGACAAAGTGACAGGAAGTGCCAAGTTTGTTCTAATTCCATTGTGAAAGTAGCTCAGCACTGGGTCACAGGTCAGATGGCAGCACTGGCCAAGGCCAGTGGCACTGCAGCACTTGAGCTCGGAAAGGAAGCTCAGCTCTTCTGACAACACTTCAAGGGCTGATAAAGATGTAAGTGACTATTTCAGCCTTTTACATCTTTGTTTCCCTCTGTATGGTGTTAATTCCTCCACAAATAGGAGCCCTTCTGTTTTCTGCTGCAATCAGGAGCATTCCCAGCTCTGGAGGAGGTAGTTTTCCACATGGACAAAGTGGCTTTCCACGTGGAGGTCGTGGCTTTCCACACGCCCTCTGTTGTTAATTCCTCCACAAATAGGAGCCCTTCTGTTTTCTGCTGCAATCAGGAGCATTCCCAGCTCTGGAGGAGGTAGTTTTCCACATGGACAAAGTGGCTTTCCACACGCCCTCTGCTGGCTGCAGTTCCAGTGATCTAGCAGCAGATTTGGGACATAATTTGTGACTTCCTTTCTGAGGTGAGGCGTGTTGTGCACTTCTATGTTTCTCAGGTACAAGAAACAATCTATTAATGAGGTTTTCCAGCGCCACACAATCCTCCTGCTGCTCAGGTGTGGACATCTGGGTTCAAACATTCCAGAGCTTCTACTAAAAAAGCAAGTATATTCTGCAACATTACCTTCTGCAACACCTGAGATTTTCTTTCCACTGACTGTGTCTAATCTCAGATCAAGCTTTCAGCAGCAACGTCTCCATTTTCTGCCATCAATACAAACACACAATCCTGTGCCACATGCCCTGGGATGAGCAGGAAGTTGGATCAGAGGCTCACTCTGGTCCCTTCCTGACCCATTCTGGGATTCTGTGCCACCACCCAGGGCTCAATCCAGAGCTGCATCCAAGCTGCTGCTGATCCAGCCCCCAGGACAGCTTCTAGCACAGGCTGGTGCCACAGCACTAAACCCCTACACATTGCTTATCCTAGGGCTGAAATGATCCTTAAACTGGGAATATTTTTTCTAGCACTGGCTATACAACAGTCACCATTCTGCCATGTCCAGCAGTATTGCAGATGTGACTGATTCCTTTCCTGGTCACACCAGGGAATTTCAGTATTACCTTAAACCTCTGGAGCTTCATTTCAAATACCAGAACAAGGCAAGAACCAAGCCAATAAGAATAAATCATAATATGAGATTTCAGTCTGCTGCTGGAGTTTAACTACTGAGCCATGAGACACCACACAGGTTTGGATCAACTGAATACAGAAAAAACAACACCAAAGCAGGTCTGGAGTGGTTTTGCAACGATGAAAGAGGGAGGAGCACAGTGTTAGAGGGTGGTTATTACCTGTTCCTGAAGTGACCACAAACTGCTGGAGCCCCAGATACACTTCCAGGTTATCCTGCAGAACGGGAAACTGGAAAAGAGAAGAATTGATTGTGATCCTGGGGCTTGGCAGACAGTAACACCCAATGACTGATTGCTCTGCCAGAGCAGAGTGCTCTCATTTCTCCCCAGTGCCTTCAGACAGACATTTGGAAGAAGGGCAGGATGGGCTCCGGGCTAATCCTGCATCCCACAACTTCCCAGGTACTGACAGCTGTCAGGAAAACAAAGATCACTCCCCAAAGGCACTTCCTGTGGCAGCTCTCCTTTGCCCCTAACCCCAGCAACCAGCCTGACAAGATAATGGTCTGACAGTGCAAGAGAGGGCACAGCACCAGGAATACACAGCTGGAGGCACAACCCAGACCAAGGAGCAGAGGAGTGGCAGAGTCTGAAGTGCAGGAGGTCTGTGCTCACCCACCTCACCTGCAAGTATCACTTTCTCAAAAGGTGATCCTTAAAAATCTCCCAAAATATTATGCAACCAGAAAGTTGAGTTCAGTGCCACTACCAGGGTACAGAAGGGAAGCAGTGCAGCACTCTGCCAGCAAGCTGCAGGCTGCAGCAGTGAAATTCCATGGGGAAAACAGCCAAAGGAATAAACACCACCGTCCTCATGCACCCTGGCGTGGGAGCAGAGTGTCAGCCCAGCTCCATCACTCAGCAGTGACAGCAAACATGCCAGATCCTGCTCATGCTCCAGCTGAAGAATTTTTCTCAACCCCTTCAGCCTGGCACAGCTCTGTTTAATTTCTCTTGGGGAAAATGGTTGAAATTGGTGGTTGGTTTGATGGAAGTTCTCTCGCCCATCAGCAGAAGGAGCTGCAGCCTTTCCTTGTCCATCATGGGATGGATCATGGCAGCTGCTGTCCACTGCTTTAATTATTTGCCACTGCTAAAACCCCTAAACTAACCACTGCACTCACCAGCCCTGCAGTCACTGGGAAAAGCACTGGGAGCTGCTGGAGAGCCTCCCACATTCCCCAGTCCAGCAGAAGGAACAATGCAGGGCTCAGGAAAGCACTCCCTACCCGGCTTCCAGCATGCTGTGCTTAATTAACAGTGCAGTGTCTTTGCATAAATGCCTGAGGGGAGTTTAAAAAACCACAGAGCCTTGCTCATGTGAATGTGTTACTCCAAGGAAGCCACATGCTCTGCTCCATCTGATCCATCTGCTCCCTGAAACACTGCTCTGCTCCTTGGTGCCTCCCGCTGACTCACAGCAGTCTCTGCTTTGTTCCCTCCTTCTAGTGACAGGCTTCTGCTTCCCTGCTTAAAGAAAAACAGCAACTGCAAAGGCACTTCAGGTCAGGCATCTTCTGCCTCTGCAGCAGCCCAGTTTTCTCTGCTTCTTGGGAATACAGTTCTGAGGTCGAGGTGTGCAGTGTTCCCAGCAGGATTAATGCACTTGCTGAGATCCCACTGCTGTTATTTCCCTTTCTCCTCACCCAGCAAAACCCCACCTGGGCTGCTCTGAATTCTGGGCCACACTTCCATCCTCAAGATCTCCTCCTCAAAATTGTTAGGATGCTACAAACCCAGACAATTTTTACACCACCAAAGGTAGTGACAGCAGCTGAACAGAAGCACTTATCCAGATCAGATCTGCTTCCCAATAGTCCAAGGCTTCTCTCCAGCATTTTTATCTAGCATTTAATTAAAATAAAGATTCCACTCTCTTTAAAGCCCTAATAATGACACTTATCTGCCCAATTCACAGCCCTGCCTCCGAGATAAAGGCCACGATAAACAGCCCAGAGGGGTTGCTGCCAAATGTTTACACTTTGAGAGGTGGGAATTTCTAGAGAGTGTCCATCAAGCTGGACTTAGACACTGAACCACTCTCTCCAAAACACACCAAGAAATGCAACAAAGCCAAAGAAACAATTCTTTCTCTTCAATTTCTCATCTCCCCTTGCCAAGTTTTGCATCCAACCCCAAATTTCCCCTTTTTTTTTTTTTTTTTTTGGCACTGAGGCATCTGTCAAAAAAAATCTACAGCAGTCGGTGCTGATTCCACGTGGCACTTGGGCCTGGGGCAGGACTTACGAGTGTGGAGAAGGCGTGAGTTGGCAGCAGCTCCATGACTTTGGCCACCACTTCCAAGCTCTGGCGCAAGTACCGCTGCCACTCCGTTTGCTGCTGCAAAACAAAGGACACTGGGGTGAGCACTGCCCTTCCCAGTGTCCCAAAAGCTCTGTGTTCCCCTGGGAATGCAGAGACAGGAGGGAGAAAGCCCCCCAAAGCAACACCTTAGAGAAATGCAACTTGCACACTCCACTCAAACTTATTCTCATATAGAATTCATTTTGTTTTCATACAGAATTGATAAATACAGGGGGACAGTGCAGGAGAAAGGAGGGGAAAGAGTGGCAATAACTTGATGGGTGAATGAAACAATTACATTAAATTTAAAGGTGAATGAAACAATTATTTTAACAGTTAAAGACTCTTTCCATGCTCAGCTACACAGGCGACTGAGAAAGAAGCTGCCTGCTACCATCATAGCCCAAACCTGCCATTAATATGAGAAGGGAAAAATGGAACAAGACACACACACAGCAACATGAGCAACAGAATCAATAGCACCATATCCTGACTTAATTTAAATAATGGACTAAAACCCTTTTCAAGTTTTATACCAAAAGCTTGCAGTCTTGCAAGTATCATCATTTGCCACCCTGTTTTGGAAGCATAAGGACAACTTCATCAGGACTGCTCTAGATAATTTATACCCTTATTTGTGACATTATTATCACCATGGAAAGGCATCCAAACATCAACATGGTCTTTACAGGGGTATGGCAGCTAATTATCCAGATGACACAAGTGTCAAATGAATTCAGAAAATAATTTACTTTGCTTATGAAATGGTGCTGCTATCAAGCTCGGAAGCTGTGATGTGACCAGCCCTCAACATCCCAGAATTTAAAAATCTATCTGATGCCATTTGTGATAAAATTCCCTCTGCTCCTTCACCAACCCTCTTGTGACAGCTGACCTGCCCTTCCAGGGCTCTGGCCCCACCCATTTTGGCCACCTACTCCACTTTGACATTTATCAGCTTCAAGGTGATTTTTATTAATACCAACTTAGGAGAAATAAGCTTAAACATAAGCACCAACAAGACACACCTTCAAGCTTTTGCTTCAGAGATATTTTAGCATTTAAATTCCCAAGTGACCAGCAAATTAATTCCAAACTAATTAAACACTTTAAATTCCAAAGGTGTTTAGACATGGACATCTAATACCTCTGACAATCAGAACACAAGGATCTAAATTTTTCCCGTCCAAAGGTGTTTAGACATGGACATCTAATACAGAACACAAGGATCTAAATTTTTCCCCCAATAAGAACCAAGTTAAACACAAAGGTTACATCTCCACTGTGACTTTTTGTAAAAAGCATTTGAAGCTGTTTTACAACTCAAACCCCACACAGAAGGGAGGGGAGAAGCAGCTGTTTAGCCCATACTCCAGAGTGCAAGCTCTGGAAAAGCCACTTGAGGTGGCAGCAGTGCAGGGGTTCACAGGTGCCCTGTCCTGTCCAGCTTACATCATCATCCAGGGTCTCGTCATCCAGCTCCTCCAGCTGTGCCTGGTTATACCTGAACTGGATCCGGTTCAACACCTCTGTCAGCAACAGAACCAAGGCATCTTCGTACCTGCAGCCACCAGGGAGACACACACAGAGGTGAGTAAAACCCTTCCAGCAAGGGAAATCTAAAACAGAGCAGTTACACCAAGCAGCTCCTGGGATTCAAGGTATCAGCTCACCTCAGGTCACAAGGTAGCTGTAAGGAAACAGCCTTGGCAAAACCCAATATCCCTCTGCCTCTGGAAGGGAAAGGGAGGACTGTCAGCAACAGAAACAGCCCCAGAGTTCAAAACAGGAAAAGCAGGAGCAGCTTGCCAGGAACAACATCAGGTGTCCACACACAGGAGGCACCAAGAGCCTCTTGCAGCCTGTGCTGTCCTCAGCAGCCTGTGCTGCTCTGCTCTGGGCACTGAACGAGGAACAGAGGAACCAGGGCGGTTGTTGCTGCCTCAGGTGGCACCTTGAGCCTGTCTGTGCTGCTGTCTCCTCCCCCACACTGAAATTCAGGCCCTTCTCCCCAGAAACAAAGCCAGCCCCTTTTCTGCTTGCCCTGTAACATGTCACTGAAACGTCCCTGCACCTCTGGGAGCCAGGGAGCTGGGACAGAGCACACCAGAGAGCCAACAGAAATAATGCCAAGCAGCAAACCCAGCAGAGCACGCAACCGCTCCTGGTCCCACAACACCAAAGTCCAGGGATTTCAAGCAGGGTTAGTCTGATTTCGCCTTGAAAAACCTCCTTCTCAAAACAGCTGGGGTCTCATTAAAAAATCCTGGGTTTTTTTCTAGGGAAAATCAGGTTGGAAAAACAGGCCTTAAAAAAGAGTAACAGACGCAGAGCATGACGCAAGCCAAGTGTCAGATGTGACAGTCAGCTGTGCCACCAGCCAGGCAGCTGCAAGCTCTGGGCAAGGTGGTGTAACCTTGCATTTGGCAACTTCTCCAGTGGTGGAAGTGGCACTGTGTACAAAATGCAAAGTTTCTGAAGCACAGAACAGGAAATGTCCTCTGTGCCCCTGCGGTGTCACCACTCCCAGACTGCCCAGCTCAGGGTTCCCACGGCTCAGGGTGTGCAGAGATGTGGAGATGTCAGAGCTGCCACTGAGGACAAACAGCACAGCCCCAACCACTCACAAGCTCTGTTTAGGATTTTGTAGTCTGACAGACCCAGAGACAGCTTTTTGTTACAATTTTCTCCATCATAAGCTGAGTAACACCAGGACAACATGCACAACATGCATGTTAGGGAGGGTACAGGAGCAAATCATAAAGTTCCAACCCAAAATCTACTTCTTGAGAAATTCAAACCCCACAGTTCCCATGCTGAAAGGAGGAGCTGTCTGCTCTACAAATTTCCACTTTTGCTTGTGGTTATGATGCCAGGCTGGCTTTACAAAACCAACTGCTGCTGTTCAGGGTGCTCAAGGGAAAGAATCTTCCTTCTGCACTCAGCAGAACTAAACATGGCACAAACCATGGTGCTTTTAAACCTCAAAAACCCAAACAACTCACCAGTATATTCGCCAGATTTTTAAAGTGGCAGCAAAGAGACTCTTCTTAAACAAAACCCACCCCTTTCAGGGTCAGCATCTGCCAAGAAAGAGCTGCCAACCACTGCTGTAACTAATACACACAGTAGCAAGCAAGTGCAACTTTTGAGTTCCAGTCTCATCTGCATTTCTCAGAAACACATCCTCAATTTAAAGAGGAAATTTAAAATCCTAATTAAATAAAATTTGTTTCCTAATTCATTAATTAGTTGTATGAGCTGTGTGAACACTAAGTAAACAACTTGTTTGGTAGTTTCCTCCTCTAATTTGTGCTAAAATGTGCTCCAGTTTTATTTTAGACTACAAAGCTTCCTTCCTCTGCCTGCAAGGTTCACACACAACATATGTAAGTGCCAGTTTGTCTACCCAAACCTGCTCAGTCTGAATTCTTGTGAATGAGTGTGAAACACTGAGGTTTATGCTTTTTATACTTCATGATTTTAGAAAAACAAAGAACTCAACCACACAGGAGGCTGCTGTAAGCAGTAGCTTATTTCTGACAGCTCTTCCATGATGACCACAAAGTCTCTTTGCTGTAGGAAAAAATCCTTCCCTGTGAGGGTGGGCAGGCCCTGGCACAGGGTGCCCACAGCAGCTGTGGCTGCCCCTGGATCCCTGGCGGTGCCCAAGGCCAGGCTGGACAGGGCTTGGAGCAACCTGGGACGGTGGCAGGTGTCCCTGCCCATGGCAGGGATGGAATGGGATGAGTTTTAAGGTCCCTCACCCCAACCCATGCCATGATTCCAGGCTGTCCCACCCTGGCAGCCCCCAGCCCTCACCTGTTGAGCACTGCTTCCTTGTCTGCCAGGCGACTTTTGATTTTGCTGGTCAGATAGTCCAAGAAGAGTGTCCAGATGTCCAAGCAAGAAAAGTAACCTTCATGTGTAGGCTGAAAGACACCAAAATTCCCAATGAGTACCATGAGCTATGGCAAGATGGATTTCACAGAGTGAAAACAGGAGTTAACATCCACTTCAGTCCATGGGAAGAGCTTCTTGCTTTACTGAAACAGTTCTAGGATGTCACTGGAGAGATTCAGAGCTGGTAGAAGAGGAACAAGAGCTTTTGTACAAGGGCAGGAACCCAGGAATTACAAGGCTGGTATCAGTGTTAACCCATCTCATGGCTTGCTACACCCGTTTCCAGAATTCCAGAGCCTAAAGGAGCTCCAGGAGAGCTGGAGAGGGACTGGGGACAAGGCATGGAGGGACAGGACCCAGGGAATGGCTTCCCACTGCCAGATGGCAGGGATGGATGGGATATTGGGAAGGAATTGTTTCCTGCAGGGTGGGCAGGCCCTGGCACAGGGTGCCCAGAGAAGCTGTGGCTGCCCCTGGATCCCTGGCAGTGTCCAAGGCCAGGCTGGGCAGGGCTTGGAGCAGCCTGGGACAGTGGGAGGTGTCCCTGCCATGGCAGGGGTGGCACTGGATGGGCTTTGAGGTCCCTTCCAACCCAAATCATTCCATGATTCTGTGATATTATAAAGCTGATTCCTTGTCATTGCTCCTGTGTAAATGGGGCTGAGTTGCACTGACAGCTTCTACAGCAAGGTAAAACCAACCTAAAGCCACAGGGCTTGGGGGTTTTAATACAAAAACTAAAAGCTACAAGAAAGCCACAGATTGAGGACAAAGAACAAAATCTCCAAACACAAACCAAGCAAGTCTGAGAGACTTCTCCACACATTGTCCATTCCAAATACCAGAAAAAATTAAAGCAGAAGCCAAGTTAAACATCTGACAAGTTGTTATTGCAGGGTGACCACCTGTGACCTCTAAATCCAAGAGCACATGAAGCCATCTCCAAGTCCCCAGCACCACGGGGAAGTGCCAGTAAGACCAGTTAAATGCTCTTTTTTTGGGTTGACTGGAGCAAACAAGCTAGTTCTGGACAACAGAACAGACTGGGAAAAACGAGGATGTGGGGCTGTACCTGATGAAAAGTGTATTTGAACAACAGGGCCAGGAATTCAACCACGGGGAACTGGGAGTAGGATTCGATCCTTCGCAGGTGGACGCTCACAAAGAGTCTGAGGAAATCTGTGAACTTCTCAATGTAGCTACAAGGGAAAGGAGAAAACACTGAGAAAAAAACAGCAAAGGTGACCCAAGGGAAAGCAATTGCATTGAAATGGTGGTAAAAGCCATTCAAAATCTTCTCATTCAAAGCAAAGTTACAATTAACCATCAGTTGAACAATTAAATATAAAGCCCTGCAACAATTACCTACAGGATGGGCAACCCTTCACTCCATTAACACCTGAAACAGCAGAAAAGACAATCTAGTCAAAAGCAACTTTAATATTCAGATAAATATTGAGTTAAACCAGGCCTGCAAATGAAAACACAACCCCCTCCACCCTGCAGAAATAATTTGATAGCAAAGGTCATTGTAGTGATGGAGATAGGATTAGTGAAATGAACTGTACCCCTGAGGAATTCAGCTGCAAGCAGGAGGTTAATGCAGCAATCAGCAACAGAGGGGTTACGTATACAGGAGGGAGCGGGACAGCCAGGGAACTGAGAGCTGGAAAGGAAAATTCCTCCTGCAGGGAAGATCAGCCATCCAAGAGTTTCTGAGCTGAGCCCAGGCTTGGGTCTGAACTGGGAAATGAAAGAGAAATCTTCCTGTAAAGCATGGGGCTCCTCAGGGAATGTACAAAGTGTAGTTCCCAAAAGGAATCTGCCACCAAATCTTCAGGGACTGCAGCAAGGGCATGACCTTGGTGCAGCAGGGAGAGTTCTTGGGGGGAAAATGGCAAAGCCCCCAGTGGGGTGAGCTTTTATTGGGGAACAAACACACCCTGCACAGCACGAGCTTCAGCAGGGCTAAAAATCATCTCCAGATCCATCAGTGCAGCAAGGGTTAAACACTCCATCAGCCACAGGAGGGATGGCAGCACCACACCAGGCAGTGCCAGCCTTCCCTCATGCCCAGACCACTGAAATGCATGAAACTACTTAAGTTTGCATTTTAAATAAAAAGTTGGGCTCAGCACAGTTTCACACAGGCATGAGCAGCCTGGTTTTACTCTACTGCCTGCTCTGCACTGCTGCAAACTCTGGGGATTTGGGTTTTTTTTGGGAATCCCCACTCTAACAAGAACTCCCTCACGACCAGCAGCACTGCCAACTGACAGAGCTGCAGCACTGGGGACTGTTGTGAGCCTTCAAAACCACACACTGCTTTGAACATGCGAAAAAGATGAAGTTCTTCTTTATTTGGCACTGCCTACATCACAGGAGATCACTGAGCACACGTGAGCACAGATCAAACACTTCAAAATCAAAGCCAGGGGGAAAAGAATTTTTAAAAAAGAATTCCAGACGCAAACATCTTCATCCTTTTAATTTTTATTTTCTAAACAGGTTCTGACCTGAGAGCAGTGAAATTCTTCCTTGGCCACCAGCCCCCTTCTCCAACACTGAGCCACTGCCTGGATCCTTACCAGCCACTTCCCATCTTTTGGGATCTTCAAAGCCAAGCACAGATGAAGCAAAAGGTAATCTCAACTTACTCTTTCCTGGACTTTCCAAAGTGTTCAGACTGACTTTTAACAGAACAAAAATAACCAGCAGCACAAGAGGAAGGCAAGGAAGGACTCCAGGGCATGAAGGTTCTGAGCACACCCCTCTACCGAAGGGGGTCTCTTCAGGGCCCCTTTCCTTCAGGATTTTGTTAGTCCAAGCCAGGATGACACCTCCATGCACTAAGTCCCTCAGTTTTGGACACAAATAGTACAGCTGTGCCCTTAAGTGACAACAGGAAAATCCTCATGGCCTTTTCCACAGAGAAGACAAGGAGAAAAGAAAGCTCCACTCCCCCAGAAGCCAGCTGGACTTTTCCAGTCTGCAGAACATATTGGTTCCATCCCCATTTCAGACCTCAGCAATGAATAAAGACATTCTCCCAACTCCAGCCACCAGCAGTCCCTGTGGATAAGAGGTCTAAGGAATGTCATGGAATGGCAGCACCACCTCTGCCCAGGCCAGCACAGCTCCACACCCTCCAATGAAGGCTGGCCCCAAAGGCTGCTGGATAGTGTCCACAAAAGAAAGAATAGTTAAAAAGGGGATTGTGTGTTTCCAGGAGAGCTTTTCTGAAATCCAGAGGGGAACTCCTGGCTCTCTGTGCCTTGCAGGCAAAGGTGTCACATTCCCACATGTCTCATTTCTAGGCAGAGTGTGACACAAGTCAAAGCTAGCAAAAAATGAGCAGCAGAATTCCCTGTGAGTCTGGATTTACCACCCCAAAGTTATGCCTTTATCTAAGGATACTGAAAAGGAGAATTCTGCAGCAGAAACGTGCAAGTCCCCTCTACAAACAGACACACAGCTTTTTTCCTAAGTGTTTTTTTCTCCTGAGTGGAAATTTACTCCTACCCTTGTGTACCCATAGTAAGATACTCAGCACTTTCACACAGTTACAACCTCTCTGCCACAGCCCTGTGACAAAAGGCAGCACCAAGTCACCACCCTGCCAACACCCAGGCTTAGCCACTCAACACAACAGCAGGAGGAGTCTCACTTTGTCCCCTACAAGTAGAAATATCTGACATAAGAGAGTGGAGCTGTTCCAGGGAACAAAAGGTGGCAGTAACAGCCCAGAAAAAGAACACACAGCTTCCCAAGGTGCTGCTGCTTCCCTGCTGCCTCCAGCCAAGCTTGTGGAGAGCCTTGGAAGTGGAGCCATTCACCACTGAACAGAGCTCCCCAAGCCGTGTTTGGTGCTGTTTAAAAATAAATTTAAAAAGCAAAAATAAAGAAGAACCAGAAATGGCCATGGCTCAATGAAAGGTAGGAAGTTCTGCTGTCTTCTCCCAGGTCATGACTCACAGGACGTGTCCCCACTCTGTGTGCTTTGGGCAGAATGGCAGATACTGACCAGAGGGGACAGAGAGAACACTGCAGTGCCTTTACCTCACTAAGCCTCTTCTGTGCTCTGTGACCACAGCTTCAGCTCTGGTGCCACCTCAGACCTGCAGTCAAACAGCAAGGAACGGGGACAGGGGAGGGAAGGGACAGCGAGGGACACAAACCTGGGCCAGCAGCTCCCTCAGCACTCAGCCCTTACCTGGGCACACCTACCTCTCTGCCCGGCTGCCCTGGCTCAGTGCTCTGAAAGAAAGGCCATCAGACACACCATGCAGGACCCCAAACCAAACCCCACAGTCCTTCAGAGGCAGCATGAGGCCCCCAGCTGCTCCTACCTCTCATCCAGCTCCTCGAGGCGGCTCTTCACCGTGTGCGCGTTGTTCTCCCTGGTGATCTTCTGCAGGAGGTAGAAGGTCTGCTGGAACATGCGGAGCAGGTACTCCTCAAACTCCATGGGCACGCAGTTCTTGGACATGAGCTCGTTGATGCAGGCCATGGCCAGCACGCCCAGGCGGCCCCGCTCCTGGCCCAGCAGCGCGCTGGGGCTGCTGCCGTTCACCGAGGACATTTTGCGGGCGCGCGTGTCGCAGCCGAAGCGCGCGAAGTGGAAGATGGTGGTGAGCAGGGACGGGGTGATGCTCGTGGACAAGGGGATCCAGCTGAAGAGGTGTGCCAGGCACTCCAGTGCCAGGGAGCAGATGTATTCACTGTCTGTGTCCAGGATGGGGATGGGCTGGTTCAGCAGTTTGGCCGCACTGGGGCTCTGCAGCAGGCTACTCAAGAGGTCACCTGGGGGAGAGGGGGGATAGTAAAAGTAGGTGACCCCTGATGCAGGAAATGATTGATATCTCACTCTAAGGCTTTGGAATGCTGAATGCTCACTTTATTAAAACTATACTCTATTACATTATATTATACTATAACACATCACACTTACTTCTAACTACAGAAAAACTCGTGGCTGTCTGCCAACCATCCCGACACACACACACGTCGATCTCGTTGGTCAATGAATCAAAACACCACCACCAGAATCCAATCAAGCAATCCCTTCAGGTAACTAATCTTCCAACACATTCCACATGTTTAAAAACACAGGAGCAGCAAATGAGTTAAGAATTGTTTTGATCATTCTTTTCTCTGCTTCTCTCACAGCTTCTCTCTGTTCAGAGAGCTTGTGAATACCACAGAGGGGTGTCAGGCAGGGCATGAACCCCCAGCTGCCCAGCCCAGGGCAGGGCCAGGGGCTGGACTCTGAGCATCCTTGTGGATCCCTTCCAACTCAGCACATCCTGTGATTCAGTGGGTTATTTGGCTGAGAGGAACTGGTGATTTCTGTACTTGGGAATTAGCCTCACACAGCCCTTCTGGCCTCACCAGACAGGGTATTTCAGGAAATACAATGCCATGGGGTGTATTTTAGGAATTTATTATAAGATTCTATCCCCCCACAAGGCTGAGTATCCTTGATGTAAGCTTGGCACATCCCTGTTACACTGAATACCACAAAGGCTTCTGCTGGCCTGTGACACTTGTGGTGATGTCCCCAAAAAGCTCACTCAGGCCAGCACCTCTTCCCAGGGATCAAATGCCACGGCAGGCACAGATCACACGCCCAAGCCTCCCAAGCACATGACAAAGGCTTCCCAAGAAAGTTGGACGCTGAAAAATTTGACACAGCCTCAGGATTTGTCTTCCATAACTTTCTCCAGCCTCCAACTGACGCCACAGAAAATTAATATTTGCAATATCTTGTGACATAGTACCACAGCTTTGTTTGGGGTATGCCAGCTGCTGGTTTCACCTTCTACCCAAACAGGAAACAGAAACAATCCCTGCTTTCACTTTCTTTGTGTCAATAGGATTCTAACGCAGTTCCTGCCCAGTTTCTTTGACAGAAAGAAGATTTTACTTCTGTTGCTACTTAGAGGGAAGCCACTCAAACCCCTCCATCACCTTTAGTGCCCTTCTACAAAGCCTTCACTGCTCCTCTGCACCTACTGATACTGAAAGAGCAGAACTGCAGCGACCACTCAGGGTGCAGATGAGCCTTAGTTCTGATACCTCAGGTTTTAGCTTTTTCTTTCTTTTATTTTTTTTTATTTTGTGCTGCTTTGGTGTGGGTCAGGGCTTCATATCAGGGGATGGTGAGCTCTCTTCACAGAGTAGGGAAACAAAACAATTCCTTCTCTAGCTGGGGACCAAGGACAAATGATCCAGATCTCAGGCCCAAGAGCACAAACAACGTGGGCTGAAGAGGGAAAACCAAGAAAGACGGGACTTCACGGGCTGGGGCTGCAATTGGACAATTAACTGCAATATGCAAATGGATCAAAACTTACAAAAATGTGAGATCTTGTGACCAAGCCCTCTTTTGCTTCCATCTTGGAGCCATCCAGGCACAGCCACACTGTGGTTCTGGTACTGCAAGGGCGTGGCCTTTGAAGGCTCTTCTAATAAATATCCTCTTTATTCCCCTTAACTCTGTTTAACCTCTGTTCCAGCTGCTTAAGGCATCAGTTCCACAGAGCAGCATGGCAGGGAATTATTCCTGACTGCTGCTGCTGTGAGTTCTCTGCAGAATGATGTGGAGAAGCTCTGAATCCTGCCTAGCCAAGGGTGAACTCCCCCTCACAGCAAGAGGGGCCACATGCACTCACCTTCCATGTGCCACCTCTAACCAAGCCACCAACAACCCAGAGACTCCCTTATCCCTGGTGGCCTTTGCTTCCTCAAAAGCTTCTGGAACCCAAGCCAGGCTGCCTTTCCCAGAGGTGCTGCCCACAATCTCCAGGCTTCCACCTGCTCAAAACTATTCACCTTCCCCAAGTTGCTCAACACACTTCTCTTCCTTGAGTACTTCATCTTTAATAACCTTTCCATCTTTAAAAATCTGGCACTTGCTGGGCTACAGAATCTGAAGTTCTTAGAGAATCTGAGTGATTTTTTATGGAAGTGAAACATCCTGACACCAGCAGTGCCAAAATAACAGCTATGATTTACTGAGCTACTTCCAAAGTACACAAGAGCCTGAGTGATGAACACATCCCTCCTTAGTCCTCATTTTTCACCAAGATTGATGTCTTACATCACTAAATTCATAATTCCCTGCCAAGCCTTATCATTGCTTCTTTCTCCTGTGCTCCAGAAACGGAAGGCATCACATGGCTCTGGCTGAGCAAGACAATCCTGCCCTTCAGTCTTAGCACTGAACCAACTGTGGGGACATTCACACCTGGACACATCTATACAGCTCATATTGTGCTTTTACAGACCCCCTGAAGCTCAGCCAGGCCAAGTGCACCAGGGCTGGGCAATCCCAAACACAAATCCAGGCTGGGCAGGGAACAGACTGAGAGCAGCCCTGGGGGAAGGATTTGGGGTGTTGGAGGATGAGAACTGCATATTCCCTGGCTGTGAGCACCCAGAAACACCCCTGGGCTGGGCTGAGCCCCAGTGTGGGATTCTGCCCCCTCAGGTGAGACCCCACCTGCAGAGCTGCTCCAGATCTGGGGCCCAGCACAGGAAGGACCTGGAGCTGCTGGAAACAGTCCAGGGGAGCCCAAGGAGATGCTCCAAGGGCTGGTGCCCCTCTGGATGAGCTTTAAGGTTCCTTCCAACCCTAACTTTTAAACATTCAGTTCAGCCAACTCCACAAAAAATCAATGAGAATTAAAGATTCTCATCTTTTAATCCATCCCCAGCAGAAACTCTCAATTACACTCCTGTAACTCACAGCAGCTGGTTCAAGTGCTTTGCACACAGTTCAATCACTGAAGCTCTGAGGTTCAGGGATTTTCAGTGTCTTTGCAAACAGGTGACAAATTCACAGCATCAGCTGCATTCATGCCAAAGCACAAAACTCCCAGTGACTGGCTCTGCAGCAGGAGAGCAGCCACAAATACTCCTGCTACTCATTTGTTTGCCATAGGTGAGGGAATATTCCTGAGGAAGGGATTCTTCAGGAAATGTGCTATAAATCATGCAAAGACAACATTTGGAGGCTAAGACTCTTGCTGAGTAAATCCTACACCATGGCAATAACTCAAATGTTGTCCAGCTTGAGACATTATCAGAGTCGCTTTGCTTAAGTGATATGAGAAATGAGTTTAATGTTGTCTTCAAGTGCTATTTAAAACCCATGCAAGACTTGCAAGTAACCATTTCACTCCACTTCCCTGTGCAAATGAAAAATAGGAAGCAGAGGTTTTCCAAGCTCCTAAAGAGAGTTGGGCTCTGATGGAAGATATTAAACATTTATGGGGACTCAGGAGCTGGTTTTGCCTCTTGGAACACCTTTAATCTCATCTGAATAGAAGGACCAAAGGGTGGTGGCCTCACTTAAGCAATGAAAACATTCAAGAGGCACCAGTACAAAGGAACTGAGTCTCAGGGAACACAAAATGAGCAAGTAGTGGATCACAGGGAAGCACCTGGTATTCCTTTTGGAAGTGGTGGAATCATCATCTCTGAAAGTGTCCAAAAGCCATGTGGATGTGGCACTTGGGGAAATGGTTTAGTGGTGGCTCTGGCAGTGCTGGTTAATGGTAGGACTCAGTCTTAGAGTCTTTTCCAGCCTTAGTGACTCTGACTTCAAGAAGTGGAAGCACAACCAATTTTAACACGGACACAGCAAAGACACAGCACAGAAAAACAAAACTGAGAGAGTTTCACACAAACAAGTTTGCACAGGCAAAATGAAACTTCTAAAGGCACTGCTTGTGTGGTCCTGGTTCTTAGCAATTGTCCTGACAAAACACTGTGTGAAAAGTTTGTTTGTTTTCCCTAAGAGGGGAGAAAGGAAAAGCCCAGCACAGAAGTGCAGCCGACTTCCAGTTTGGGAAACGCGATCCCGAGTCACGAGGGGAGCACACAGGTGGATGAAAGCTGCCTCAGCAAAGCCCCAGGGGACTGAGGGACATCTCCAAAAGTCTTCCATGACAGCCAGCCCAGAATTTGTTCCACCAGTGCCCTCCCCCAGCACCATTCTTAACAACTGACACCAGAAGCTTTGATCTTTTCTGTAAATATTTCCTGTCCAAACTCTTCCCAGCTCCAGTAAAATCCACTCTCCCCCTGCCAACCCAAAGGAATATTTCTTCCCTTTAAAGTTTGTGGTTTGTATATAAATACAGAAATATCTTAAGCTCCTCTACAGGAAAGGAGCACTCAAAATGCTGCTCAAGCTTCAATGTGAAAGGTTTAGCACCAAGCAAAACACTGCCAACAGCTTATCAGAGGCAGCAGTCTGGAGCTGCCTGCTGCAACCTGGCCACAAGGAAGTGATCTGCAGCTCCCAGGGAACTGCTCAAGGTCCCAGGGACAAGGAAATGTGTGCCAAGGACAAGGACACAAAAATGTGTTCTCCATTTCAGAGGTAACTGAGAAGTAGAGATGTCAATGGGTTAACATCAGATAAGCACTCACACGGAAGTCCAACAGGAACAGATAGAAAACAAACTTTCACAATCACAGAACAGTTTGGATTAGAAGGGACCTTAAAACCCACCCCCTGCCATGGACAGGGACACCTTCCAGTATCCCAGGTTGCTCCAAGCCCCTCCAGCCTGGCCTTGGACACTTCTGGGGTGGAGCAGCCACAGCTTCTCTGAACACCCTGTTCCATTTCACAGAGACTTGGCTACCTTTATTTTCCTTTTTCACAGGTAGGATTCAATTTTGCTCCACTGGCATTGATGTGCCAACAGCTGGAATTCAGGGGACAATGCCAACCCCATGCAAGGCCACAGGCTTGGGGAAGAGAGGCTGCAAAGTTGCTCAGTGGAAAAGTGTGCCCAGGTGGGCAAGAGGGCAATGGCACCTGGCCTGGACCAGCACTGGGGTGGCAACAGGACCAGGGCAGGGACTGTCCCCTGTGCTGGCACTGCTGAGGCACCCCCAGTCCTGTGTCCAGTTGTGGGCTACTTCCAACACTGAGGGGGCTGGAGCGTGTCCAGGAAAGGGAACAGGGCTGGGAAGGGGCTGGAGCACCAAGAGGGGCTGAGGGAGCTGGGAAAGGGGCTCAGCCTGGAGAAAAGGAGGCTCAGGGGGACCTTGTGGCTCTGCACAACTCCTGACAGGAGGGGACAGCCAGGGGGGTCGGGCTCTGCTCCCAGGGAACAGGGACAGGAGGAGAGGAAACAGCCTCAAGTTGTGCCAGGGGAGGGTCAGATTGGATATTAGGAATATTTCTGCATGGAAAGGGTGGTCAGGCTCTAGCACAGCTGCTCAGGGCAGTGGTGGAGTCACCATCCCTGAGAGGATTTAAAAGCCTTGCATATGTGGCACTTGGGGACATGGGCTAGTGGTGGCCTTGGCAGTGCTGGAATAACAGCTGCACTTGATGACTTTAGAGGGCTTTTCCAACCTTAACAATTCCATGATTTTAACTCACTGTCAATTAGAGCATTTTGCTGTGAAACTTCAGGGAGGTTTCTGCCATCTGAGGACAACAAGCAGCTTTGTGGGCACATTTTAATGACATTTGCAGTGAGGCATCCCCACAGTGCAATTTATTTCTTTGTGTAGGGCTTTTCTTTCCAGTCAGGAATTTGTTGGCTTGTGAAAAGCACTGGGAAAGGGTTATTAGGAGAGGTTAAGCAGAAAAGGAAGGAATCTGTGCCTGACACTGCAGGTTAAAGTACATGGAAATCCCATCTTGTAGCTTTTCCTTACCACTTTCTCCTGAAGTCGGGGACGGTGGTGGAGTGGCAGCAGTAGCACTGTGCTTATCCCAGATGCTCTCCAAAATACCTGGTCAAAGAGAGACCTTTCAGAAATGCCTTCTCAAAGACACACTGACCCCACAAACACAGCACAGACTGCAAGAGAGCTTTGGCAGTACACAGCTTGAGTGCTTTGGGAGGGACAGAAACACTCCATAACAGCTTTGGGCTCACTAAGAGCAGACAATCCCCATCCCTCTCCATGGAGGGAGCTCAGCAGCTGCTCTGCTGCACCAGTTGGTTCATATTAAGTTGACCCAAGTGCTGCAGGGCAGAGCTGAGCACTCACAGTGCAGCAGCAGCCACTGCATCACCCTCATTGTGCTCCACGGAGCCCCAGGAGTGGCAGCCCAGCTGTGAGTGCTGAGGGGACAGCCAGCTGAGTGGCACAAGGTGTGACTCATACCTGTGAGCAGCCCCAGCACCGTCTGCACCTGCTCCAGGAGCAGCTTGCGCAGCTCCTCCTTGCGGGCCACGCTCAGGTCCTCGCGGGGACACGCCAGCTCCTCCGACGTGGTTTTCAGCATGATCAGCCCCAGGGGAGTGGTCACAGGAGACTGGATCAGCTGAGGAGCACAGGAGAGCAGTGTGATGACAACACTCACTGACAGACAGGGATTAGCAACACTGCTCCGAGTTTACAACAGCTTCACCACTGCGGGCACTGCAGCTCCCACGGGCACGTTCCACTTCCCCAGACGTGAATCTCTCATGTTGCAACAGCTCGAGCCCCGTGGGAATCCTTGGGGCTTCAGGAGAGCTTTCATAATGTCATTGCACACGTTCTGTGTCCCAGCACAGTCACAGAACAGCCTGTCCCTTCTGCTTGCTGCATTCCCTGCCCAGCACCACCTCAGCAGAGCAGCTCACACCTCACAGCCCAGCCGTGTCCCCAAAAATCCCCACTTCCCACACGGCCCAAAGGCTGCAGCCAGGAGCAGAGGCCACCTGAGGGATCTGACTTCCCCTTGCACCTGCACTGGATCCCAGCCTGGAAATTGCATTTCCCCCAAAAAGAGTTAACTTCTGTCCCGTGCTGGAACAGGACTGGACAAAGAGCTGACTTGTGCCTTCATCAGCCACAGGGTTATTAAAGACTTTTTCAAGTGGGACAAAGTTCTGTTTCCAGCTGAAGGACAGCACTGCTCTCCACTGCTGCCTAGACACATCCAAAGTGATTCATGCACTGCTCCCTCTGGGAGAAAAAAGTCCAAAGCCAATCCCAGTTGCTACAAGTAATCCTTGAAGCCATAATTCTGCAATACAGGCTGACTTTGCACCTGAACCCCTGACTCTCCAAAGGAGGGCCAGGCTGAGTTAACACTGCTAAAAACACAGAGTTTGGTGAAATATTTGGGGAGAAAACAGCCCATCTAAGAGCTCTTCATCTTGGCTTTTGAAAAGGAAGTCCCAGACACAGGAGTAGATGGCAAAGAACTCAGTGAAATACCCAACTTGCTGGTAAATTGTGAAGGGACTGAAAATCATCTTTCAGGATATTTTCTGACAAACCCAGGGAGTTTTAGCAACGACCAGGACTGATACCTCAGTCAGGCTAACCAAATTTTAAACCTCTAAGGAAGCAGTACTTGATGTAGAATTACTGGCTCTTCACAATGACAATACACTACCCCAATTTACCCTTCTTCTTCACCCCTCCAGTGGTTCAGTAAAATGTTTAGAGACTACTCAGAGTACTGGGATACAATTTAATGCTGAAGAACAAAGAACATGCTGCAAATGATCTCAGAAAAAGTCCTGAGACAGGGCTTATCTGCAATTCTAAGAGCAAATCATTCTGCTCCTGTGCTACTCTGCCTTCTGTCAAGGCCCTGGAATTCAGCATTACTGGTTTTCTTCCACTTTCTCTGAACATTTTAGGAATGTGTCTGCCACATAAATTAATTTATGGAAACACTTCCCTCCACTGCAGAGCTCACAAGGAGAGGCTTAAGGGAAAATAGATTCCTCAAGTAAGCTCTGCAATGCCTTAAGATAACCCCAGACTGCTAGAAAGGCCAGGAGAGCCCAGGCTGCTTTTCAGTTCACATCCAGGTGAAATGAGAGGCAAAACTCCACATGGACACAGTTATCTCCAAGTATTTCTTGTCAAATTGACAACTGAGGGCAAAACTGCAGCAAGTCCCACTCCAGAACAGTCAGAAAAGTGATTATACCAGCCAGTGATGAGCTCTGCAGCCAAGACAGGATTTTTTTAAATATTGCAATTAATACTAGATCCACTTGCCTTAACAAATAAACTCCTGCCACTCAAGGACTTGGATTTCACTAACTGCCTTGTGGCTTGGCCGTGGGCTTTGCTGCATTCAAATCATGCAATTATGGCAGCAGAAAAAGCCTGTGCAGCACTTCAGTTTACACTCAGCCTCTTTAAGCCAATTAGGAGCAATTTTAAGGGAACTGGAGACAAAATAATCCAACAAAAAGAGGTTTGCACCAGCCTGGTGATGCTCCAGCAGCAGCCTGGCTCAGGATTCCCTGTAAGGACGCTGAGTTGCACCCAACATTCCAGCTAATAACATGGATTCAGTCAGGATCCCCAGTTCACAGCTGAGCCTTCCTGCAGGAGCCCCCCTAAACACCCCAACAACATCCCATTGGTGACCTTATTGATGAGGTACCAGAGATTTTGGGGTGTCTTTGGCTGTTGGGTGAAAAATCTGCACCAGCCCCATTGAGAAACTGCCCTTTCAGAATCAGTGACACATCCATAACTTTACTGACTTCTGTTTTGTTTAAAGAACAGCCCATACTCCTTGTATTTTCAAGAACTAGCCCATAATATTTAAAATTCAAAGTGAATACTTGTGGCACAGTATTGTTCCTTCCTCAAAACACTTTTAACACTGGAGAGAAACGTAACACGGAAAAAGCTGAGTTACAACATAATTAAAAAGGAATTTACTATTTAATTTTCACCAAAATCCCTAATCTGTAACGTGGAAAAAGCTGAGAGTTACAACATAACTAAAAAGGAATTTACTATTTAATTTTCACCAAAATCCCTAATCAAGGAAACAAAAAGATGCTTGTAAGGGAAAAGCTGGCTCCATGCATGGGCAGAGCTCTCACCTGCAGGATGTTGGTGAAGAAGTCGTGGTAGAACATGGGCCAGTCCTGGCGGCCGATGTCCACGATGACTTTGCAGAGCTTGTTCCTGATGAAGTAAGGCAGAGTTTTGTGGTGAGCCAGCAGCAGCTTGGGCAGGCAGCTCCTGATCTCCATCTTGTCCTGGGATGGGACCCCCAGCCACATCTTATTGATCAGGTTCTGCAAAAGCAATGGACATCCCAAATGAGCTCATCTTGGATATGAGAGAAACACTGAGAGAATCTGGAATCTCAGAACGGTTTGGGCCAGAAGGGACCTTAAAAATCATCCTGTTCCAGCCCTCTGCCATGGGCAGGGACACCTTCCACTGTCCCAGGCTGCTCCAAGCCCCATCCAGCCTGGTCTTGGACACTGCCAGGGATCCAGGGGCAGCCACAGCTGCTCTGGGCACCCTGTGCCAGGGCCTGCCCACCCTCACAGGGAACAATTCCTTCCCAACATCCCATCCATCCCTGCCCTCTGGCAGTGGGAAACCATTCTCCCTCATCCTGGCACTCCAGGCCCTCATCCCCAGTCCCTCTGCATCTCTCCTGGAGCCCCTTTAGGCGCTGGAAGGAGCTCTGAGGTCTCCTCAGAGACTTCTCTTCTCCAGGCTGAACAACATAAAGCAGGGACAGAGCATCTGGCAGAGCTGCTGCATCTCATGGCCCAGGACTGGCAGTGCCACAATGGAGCTGAAGTTACTGGTTTAACTGGTTTTGGGTTAAGCAGAGCTATAGTGACAGGCACAGAACAACTTCCTCCACCTTTTACCCCTGGGCACCAAGGGTTTCCCCTCTAAAGGGGGAAGTATAGCCTTGGATGAAGCCAGAAAAGAAAAACAGGGAAGGAGATTGGGTTTTCCAGGCCTCTGATCCACCCAGGTCTCCTGAAGCTGAGCTGGGAGGTCACTGCAGCAGGCACTGCCTGGCAGTGACAAGGCAGCACTGCACAGAAAGCTTTCAGTCCACTCAAAGCCAGACAAAATCCAAAGGAAAGCAGAGTTACAAATTGCTTCCCTGCCCTGATCCCATTTAGGGCTCTGGAGCATTAGGAGCTGAATCTCTTGGGATAACCCAGAGAGGAGGCTGAAGGTCCGTGCCCATCTGCAGCACCCAGCCCGCAGAAAGACAATGCTGAAGATCACAATCACAGCCTGGAAGAAACGTCAAATATCCAAAACTGGAAGATGATGTATGGTCAAAGGAGATGCTATCCTCAGCAGGATGCACTGCACACAGACACCAGCTCCCAGCGCAGAGCTACACAGGGATATTTATACAGAAATTCCTCAAAGAAGTTGTTTTTGGTGTTTCCTAGCAGAGAAAATCCACAACTACTACTTGAAAACAATGGCTCAACCAGCTGAGGGTTCCTTGATGCAAGCTCAGAATTCCAATAAAACTGGAAGATATTTTAGGTTCAATATCCATCCTTTCATGCCCACTGTGTTCTGTCCTACTCCTCCACCTGCCAGCAGCAGCTTTCTCCCTGTAAATGCTTTTGGGAAGATATTTTCATTTTCAAAAAGCAGGAGGTGAAAACCATTCATCTGGAAGTGGGTCAGGAGTTTTATTCCAAATCCACTGCTACCTTCCTAAGCAGTTTGGGAAGTCCACGTCCTTGGGCAGTTTTGGGAATGATCCTTGTGTTCACACCCCCCCTGATCCAATAGCCAAGGACAGCTGGGGAAGCTGCAGACTGGAACAGACTTTGGCTCTGAGCACTTAATGTCCAGCACTGCACCAGTTAATTTTGGGAATTCAAGCTCCTCCATGGAGAGATCCTGATCTCCCAGCTGGGCTGGGGGCTCCTGTCTCTCCCTCTGCACTTGCACAGTGATTTCTTTATTCTGGGCACAATTAGGTTTCTCAATGCTACTTTTTCCCCCTCCAGGGAAGCAGAGGCTCAGTAACCAAACTCCATGAAATATCCTGAGCTTGTAGGATGATCCCAAGGATCACTGAATCCACTTCCTGGCCCTGCACTTGTTTTGCTTGTCAGGAAAATCAGTGGAACACCATCCCCTGAGCAGGAATAAGTCCCACGGCACTTGCCATGATCACCCCTTTTTGAGGGGAAGGTAAAGCAGACTCAACTTGCAGATGGGGTCCAGACTCCCTCTGCAATCCTTAATAAGTAAAATGAATATTTAAGAGAATAAATCAACAATGATGTAGATAATTTGTAAAAACAACACAACTTTAAAAGCAGATTTTTTATCTAAACATGTATTTTATCTGAAAAGTGGCCCAGTGCAAAGGCTATAAACCTCTGATTTAGGGCACAGCTCAGAGTGCCCACCCAGCTAAGAACATGACACAGGCCACAAATGTCCCAGGCTGAGGAGTGACATTGACCAAACCCCAGGACATCCTCAAGGACAGACACTGCACTGGTCACTGAGAAATCAGTGACACACCAGTGCAGTCCACAGAATACCTTTGCTTATTCCAGAGGACACAGAGATCAATATCAAGCCTTTTAACCCAAATTTTCTTCTTTATCACTAGGTGAAGAGTGGGATGTGACTAAGAGAGACCTCACCTCTCCAGCCAGCACAAGTGTGCAGGATGCAGCTCAAGAGCAGCAACCACAACTACAAAATGTCAGAAGAATGAAAGCAGGTTTGCCTTCCCTCTCAGCACTCAAAGCCTGCAGGAGCCAGGAGCAGGTAATCACCCCCATATTTCTGATCATAAAAACAGCATAAAAGCAATAACACCCTTAAAAGCATCGTGCAGAAACTCAAGCAGCCTCTGAAACTGGAGGTAATTTGTGCTTAGAGATGCCAGGAAATGAATTCTTCAATTTGTGTACAAAGATTCATATTCTCCCACTCTGAGCCTGCTATTAAGCAACCTCTCTGGCAGAGAGCAATAAAAGCATCCTTCATTGCTGTACTTACCAGGGATGCCATTTCAGACAAACATCTCCCCCCAAAAAATCGATTGCCAGATAAAACTGCACCAGGCAGAGCAGTGGAGGAGCTGAGGCCTCACCTCAAACACTGTCAGGCTGTACATCATCACATAATCATTCCTTGTGCTGGACAGGAAGTACAGGCAGAATCTCCAGGCTCCTATCTGCTGGGCAAAGTTATTTAAAAGCTCCTCTGCAAAAAAAACCCAAAAAAAACAAAAAAACATAAAAGTACATAAATTACTTGAAAAAGTACTTCAGTTTTAATTTGACTTTTCAAGCCCTTGGAGCATCCCTGTGGCTGTTTGGGAATAGAAGGAATCTGCCTCTTTACAATCACCAGCAGCTCCCCTGGAGCACCTGGCAGGATCTGCTGCCTTTCAGGACATATTTAATAACCCCACCCAAAGGGAATTGCTGTTTTTCCTGCTTGCCATTCCACTAGAACTGGGACAGCCTTGCTTTGCATTCCTAATGCTGAAGGCTGTGCTCCGTCTCCAGGCAGAGGCTTCCCAGGACACACAACCCAACAATGTACAGAGGAACCTCACTGGCTTATCACCCACAGGAGCTGCCACAGATCCCCTGGAACCCCAGCTATGGAAAGCTGTCCCACCTAAGCAGGAGAGGGAAGATGCCAGTCGAGTGCAGGCACAGCTGTGTGGGACAGCACCAGTCCCCTCTGCTGGGCAGCAGCAGCACCAGGAGCAGCCCTGGAGGGGCAGGACTCACCTATCTCACGTTTCCTCTCATTTGTTGTGCAATTGTGGAAAAACTCCGTCATCAGACTCTCCAGAGCCCGCAGCGAGGCCTCCTCTGATGCCTGGGAAGGACATTGAAGGAAAGAGAGAAAACTCATTCCCACTCTGACACAGGAGGGTGGCATTAGAACAGCACAGGTGCACCAAAATCCAACACAAGCAGAACCAGTATGGGGCAAACTGGGAGCTCAAACTGCTCGCTGGTGGCAAGGAGCAGCAAGATTTGTGAACTGCAAGTGAAAGCTTTGACATGAAGGATCATTGCTCAGCTCCATTAATAAGGACAAGAACACAACAGAATTCTTTTATTCTGGTGGCATTCAGGAATTTTAAGGCAATAAATAATTCTCACAAAGACAGCAAGTTCAGGTCAAGATGTTTTCAGATGTTTAGAAATCGTAAATATCCTACCATGGGAAGCATAAAACTTCATAAAACTGAGAGGATTTCTCTTGGACATCAGGAAGAATTTCTTCCCAGAATGGGTGATCAGATATAGGAATGGGCTGCTTGGGTGGGTGGTGGAGTCCCCAGCTCTGGAGGTGTCCAAGGAAGGGCTGGAGGGGGCACTCAGTGCTCTGGGCTGGGGACAAGGTGGGGATGGGTCACAGGATGGACTTGATGATCCTGGAGGTCTTTTCTAACCTCAATCATTCCATGATCCTGTGACTCCTGACACCTCTTCCTGTCTTTGCCTTGGTGCCATCCTGCTGCTCAGGAAGCTTAAAAATTAAGGAATTTCCAGCACTCTAAGAAGCAATATACCAGTACATACCAATATTCAGCAATCTGACTCAAGAAGAACAGCACACCCCCACCCTCCCCCCATTTAGGTTTCATTCTTGGAAATCATTAGTTACAGTTTTAAGTCCTAATGAAATTATCAAGACTAGCATCCAGCTGTAGTTTTGGAGTGCTCTGGTGATGATGATTTTATTCTGGCAAGGTAACAGCCTCAGAAACAGTCCTGCTACAGCACAGATCATGCCACAGCTGTGCCCCCAATGTTTTCATCCCATGCTATCAATAATAAATGCATCAAGATTCAAGCCCAGATCTTCAAGTACAGGAACAAAGTAAACATTTAATAAAACTGATCTTTCTGCCTCAAAAAACACCCCCAAACTAGAAACAAAAGCTCTGCCTGGCAATCTCCTGCAGAGAAGAGCATGTGAGACATCCAGCAGAAACACTCTAGGCTGCTGCTAATTCCCATTTCCATGCACAGCAGTTTTCCCAAGGGCCAAGCAGGAGCCTCTCCTTACTGGATTAACCCCCAGGAGCACCAACAATTCCACAGCAGCTGGAAGTGGATGCTCTGCAGGATACTGAGCATTTCCATTTACAAAGGAATGATGAATTCCATCCTACCTTTCCTCTTCCTGCCCTGCTTGTTCCTTTTTTCTTGCCTTTTAAACCCTACTCTAGAAATGAAGGACTACTTTAGCAGGAGATGTTGGTAGTGGGAAATTGGCTTAAAACAACCAACAATCCAGACAGAGCAGTCCAACGTTTCCAATCCAATGTTTGCAGCTCAAGTTCCCAGCTTTAATCCATTTCTGCTTGGGCTGCAAACTTCCCTTGAGCCACAGATCAGCCTGCTGCCAGTCACCATTCCCAGGTAACAGCACCTCTGTGGAGAAGAGCCTCACTTTAAAAAGAAATATCTAAGTGGCATCCTTAATGACTTAGGATATGGCCACGCTGCCATTTGTGGGAGCTAAGTTGTCCTAAGCTCCTCCCAAGCAGATCCACAGATACAAATCCAGTATTTTCCTAAATCCCTGCACTTTCCTTCTCTGCTCTCAACACAGAGTGAGTCTCACCAGCAGTTTCTGGTGCCAAACCCCCAAAGATGAGTTTCCAATCTCAATTTGATGCAAATTCCTCCAAGAGCAGTACTGCTCTCCCCACTCCACCTTCTACCATCCAATACCAATAGCACCTCAATCCATGGAAAACTCTTGGTTCTTCACAGGGTGGAAGGGCTCAGATGTCTTTGGATACTTAATTCAGCACTTCTTCAGCAAGAGAAGTTGACATAAGTGCATTTCTTCCAAGATTCATGATTTATATCCTGTTTTTGGAAATAAATTATGGAGTTCTTATAAATCTTGAGCATCTGTCTTGTCCTCCACTGCCTTCAGCACTGAGATTTGAAGATCCCATTCCTTAGGAACACAGTTAATCTTCCAAAGCAGAACACCATGATCACGATGTTCAACATGTCAAAAGCAGGAAAAAAACAAACCAGAAAGGACAACACGAGGATTTCAGGCAGAAAAGCCCAGGCTGGAGAGACCCAAGGCCACCAAGACACAGTGGGACCTCCAAGATGGTTCTGTGCTCTTGTTTGACTTCTTGCAGCGCTTTGGGAGGTCTGGCCAAAGGAAGGTTGGGAAAGAAAAATTGTCTGAGGTAACCAAAGCCCAGCTCAGGATCCTCTTCTAACTCCAAGCTGGACTTACCAAGGACCTGCATTTGCTGATGCCTTTGGGTATCCCTAAAGTTCCCCCGGCTGCACCTGGACCCAGACACCTGGGAAGCTGATCAGTGAGACTCCAATAAAAGTCCAGCTGTTTGGAGCACCTGGGGCTGTACTTGGGATATTTCCTAGCCTTATTCCCACCTTAACAAGCTGTTTGCTCTGCATTGAAGAGAAGGACAGGCAGAACCAGCAGTGCTGGGTTCAGGTTCTGGTCTGAAATTCTGGGTCATGCACAGATTTCATATTCCAAGGTTTTTCAAGGAAAGTGTGGAGCATCAGTAACAGAATCTACCCCAGTTTTCTATGTCAGGGCTGGCAGTTTGCCTCACCTCCATGAGGCATTACTAAATATGCAACCACTGAAACAGAAATACTTCCCACTCTCTCAGAAGTCAAACCTGACCCCTCTCACCCCTAGTGCCTCCCAGGGCTGGATCAAACATCAGAAAATACCATTTCTCTCCTTTGCCAACAATGAGAGGAAAATATATTCAGTTCTCCAAGTCCTGCTTGCAGAGCAGGTAACGTGAGCTTTTCCCCATGCAGAGATAACTCTGCAGCTCCCAAAAAGCAGGGGAGATAAGATGTGCCACGTCACCATCCACCCATGCTCCACTGCCTCAACACCATGGCTCAGTTCTGACCCACAGGGAGGGTCCTGGCTGCCAAATTCAGCAGATCTTGGGGCCAAAGGTGATGTCCTTGTCACAGGTCCCTTAGGGGAACAAGGCAGTGAGAGGTGAAAGCAAGGAGAGCTAAATCCAGCACAGCCACAGCTGCAGATTCCCATGTTCCAGCAGCACATCCATACTTTGACCTGGAATTTGGGTCAAAACAGCATCTCTGGGACGTGTGTCACAGGTGACTGTCCCCAGAACAGGTGCCTCTAAGTGCTGAGCTGGGTCCACACCACACAGACCAGGCAAGCAGCAGCTCTGCTCTTCCTGGAAGTGTCCCCTCTGATCCGAGCAGGACTTGCTGTGGATCAGGGTGGGAGAGCCACTGTCAGCCTGTGTCCTTCCCATCCCTTTCCCCTCATTAGTTTGCTAAAGGTGTTCCACACCACTATCAGATGAGGGGTGGAGCTGCTTACTCATTCCAGTTACCTCTGGACTCCAACCCTCTGTGCCCTCCTCCCACCAGGAAAATGAGCTCCAACATTGAGCTCTTCCTGACAGAAAATACAAGATTTGCTACCAAGAACCTGCATATCCAACAACATTCTCCATCCATCAAAGCACCACAAGAAGGACCCATCCCACCAACTGATTTCAGGGCTATCCTCCAGTTACATTTTCAACTGTATGAGTCATTAACTGATTTCTGCTGATTAAGGGGAAAATAAAGCTGCCAACCTCCTGCATTTCAGCCTGTTCAATATTGCAGCTGCACCTCAGTGAGGCTCTGGAGAAGCAAAATCTTTGTACCCTACTGCTGACTCCATCACAAGCTCAGATGTAGACTATGACTAAAGCACTGGGGTAGAACGAGTTACTCATGCAGCTCCAGCAAACATCAGAGCAGCCATCCTTGGGTTGCACTTTAGACACTGCACATGCACTTGAAGAGCAGATACAATGCTAATTTTAGTTTGCATATCACCAAACACAACCACAGCCCTTAAAGAAGCACCTGCTCATTCTGCAAGACATGGAAGCGCTTTCTAAAGCCATTTTCTCCACAAGCACTTTCATTTAGAGTTCACTTCCTCTTTTTTTTTTTTTTTAATTTCATTTTATGCTCTCTGAAGGATTTTTTTTGTTGAGGGGAAAGATTTTCTCTACTGCTTTGCCATAAAAACACAAGCTGTTAACCTTGTAATGTTTGCCATTAGAGCATCCATCACACAAACGATGCTCTAAATACAGCAACTCGGGCTAATGACAACTGAGAGAAGGGTTAGGTCTGTTCACTTTTTCCCTAATGTGTTTGCAAATGGATACCACTCCAAGACAAATTTAAGGCATTCCCTCTCCAGAGCTTTTTTTAGTAAGATGTTAATTGCAGCTGCAATGTTACAGAGGTGACTTCATCCTTCAGGCAGCATCTTCCTGATGTGGAAGGATGGATTTTCCACCACACAAGCTCCCAACGCCTCCTCCAGGGGCAGGGAGGAAAAGCCCAGGCTCTTCTGTACCCCAGGAGCCCCCAGAGCACATCAAACTCCCCTTCTGCATCTCTACTCTTTATTTACAGCTGGGAGTTGTGCTGGGGAGCTGTTCCCACCCCCTGCACCCATCCTGGTTTGGGTCTGATGCCCTCCCAGCCCACCAAGCCCCCACACCCTGCACTGAGCACACACAGATCCCTCTGCAGCTTCCTCACCTTCTGGAGCCTGCCCCTCCATCCCAATCCCAACACACCCACCCTCCTCTCCTGCCATTTCCAGTGCAAGACACACAGCCCAGCATGGCCCAGCCTCCTCCCAGCTATCAGGATTCAGTTTTTATCACATTTAGCTGCTAAAATCACTATCAGCTACGTCTACCAGCTGGTGGGCAGCTCTTCCAGGAGAGATGGGACTGCAGGGGAGCACACAAGGAGAATCCTGGCTGATGGAAAAATTCCCAGCTG